CTCTCTCTCTGTGTGTGCAAAATCAGACTGCTCCTCTCTGTGCCTTTTGCCTGGACCTGCTAACTTGCCTTAACCTCTGGCCCATAGTAAGCTTCAGACTCAGCTTGTGCTTACGCTCTGGACCCGGTGTTCTGCCCTTTCCTGCTGCCCCCCATGGCCCAGCCCTCACACTGGTCCCCTTACCCTCTTCCCAACACTGTACTCCCTGTTCCGATCACCACAGTAACTCATCTTCACAGGCCTCCCCACTTAGTCCCATGACCCCCCTCCCCAGCACCTACTCAAGCTCTGTGAAGGGAGAGCAAGGCCCTGACCCCGAGGACTCTAAAAACAACAGTCTACAATAATTGACTAGGATGTGTAGGGGATTGCCCTTGCAGACCACTGAAGTGACTCCCCCCAAAGGGGTGACTTGCTCATGTTTCATAGGCAGATAAGATCAGCTGAGAATCAAACCCAGGTGACAGGTGCTTGCAAATCAAACAGGCTTTGGGGTAGGTTCTGTCCATTTACCAGTGATGGAACTTCTTTCAGGGAGAAAAAAGCTCCAGTTAAGCCAACAAGATCAGCAAGGGCAAAAGGCTGACAGGAAGGTAAAGAGGCTGGTGTGATGGTCAAGGGGCTAACAAGGTGCAAAAGTAGTATCTATTAAGGCAAGTAAAGGGAATGTGTTCTTTGAAAGGCATGCCCACTCCTTACCTCCTAAGCATGGACGAGAATCCTTTCGCTACATCATTGCATTAGTTCACAAAGAACCTGTTTGTATAATTCTGCTCTATGGAATCAGTATCTTCTGAATTGGTCATACTCACTCATGGAGATCAGTAAGCACTGTAGTAATGATAAACCTGTGACATCATAATTGATGGAGATTGGCACTGAGTTTCTTATATTAAGGTTCAGCTTGCAAACACAGATTGGAGAGGTGGACTATCTGATATTGACATTGTGTTAGATTTATATTTTAGCTTTTAATTATTTAAATATCAGAACCACAGAATCACTTCTTCATTGGCTCAAGTAAGAAAGAGTTGATAATTGAATACTAAGAAATTGCTACTTTGCAACAGTACTGCAAATGTTGGCTCTGTTGTAAGGCAGAAATGAAGATTTTGAAAATGAACTTTCTGTTAAGTTAAAGATGGAGTTTTTCTTTGGTGCACACCTGTAACAATGTACATCTTATAGGCTATTAGCCTTTGATGTTGTGGGAATCATGCAGTGGGAAACAGACCTAAGTATTCTTATTGCTCTTGAGGCATTTCAGATTCTCAATTTGTTCAAACTTTCATCTTTACAATCAATTTACTTGATTTGTGCCATAAATGAGTATATATGAAGTAATTGGATGGTTGCACTGAGCTATCTAAAGACTGCTCATACTAAGAACTGCTGGATTTCCTTTAGCAGTTAACTAACAATACAGTTGGGATAGATAATGATTTTGTCATTTTCTTTTCACTACACTTTTCAATTAAGAGCAGATTATTTCTGCTTGAAAAGTATGTTGTGCTGCTTCTCCAAAGTCACAAAAGCAACATCAGGGAAGAGGTTTAGTGGGTGTTTGAGGGTGGGGAGAGGAGGACACCAGTGCTGCCAAGGTATAATTTATCCTGGCTGCACCTCAGCCTCCTTCCCTCCCACTGCAGTTAGTTGAAATTGGTTATGTTGTTGTTTTGCAGGGCAGGAATGGTTGCTTCTTCACTCCTGCCTCCCTCTATAAGATGTCCATAATCCTCCTTGTTCAGAGTCCCAAACAAATATGCCTGAAATGCAAAAACAGGTGACAGACATGAAAACAGAAGTTTGCTTGTGAAATTACTTCTTGGTAAGAACAACTATGTATTTGAGAGAAATGTTGAGGGCTTTAAATAGGGTCTTCCACAATAAAAAAGAGGGGGGTGTATCTTAGATCAGGAGCATTTGCTACTCCTTTGAATACAACCTACCTTATATATCAAAACTTTGAGTCTTAGTGTAGTTGCATCATGTTGGCTTTTTAAAACAAAACACATGGTGGTGGTTTTTATGACCTGTCAGTAGTGTCATATAAAAGCCTTGTTTTTCAATCCTACTTTGCAACAAAAACCATACCTAAGTATTACAGGGATTCTTTAGCCCCAGAAGCTTCAACATTCTTTGCTGGAATGTTAAGTTCTAGGGCCTGCCAGCAGCTGCAGCCAGTGGGTGACCTGGGCCAGCTGAGACATTCACCATGGCTGAAGGCAGGGCAGCAGTGTAGCAGAAACAGATGCCTTATCAAATGCTGTCTCTTCTAACAGCTGTCTCTTCTATTGTGCTATCACTCTTTGAGGTTGGTTGGGGGTGGTTTACCCCACTAGGGGTTGCACTGTGCAGGGAACTAAGTGAAAGCTTGGCTTAGAATTGAATTTTCTTTTTAGTTAAGGAGAGGAAAGTATTTATGAGGCACTCTGACATAATTCAGTGGCATCCAGTAGGCAACTGACTTTCTGTTCCAATTATTTTTCCTGCATATTTTAACAGTTGTTTATCCCACATACCATTTATAGATGACTTAGAAATAAATATATTGCTGGCCATATGTTTCATTTAACCCTTTAGTTAACTGTATGTGTATGCATTTAAGCTGTAGTTGTGTTTCTGAAGATTAGAAAAAATTGCAGACAAAAAATTAGTGGAGAACAAATTCTCCTTACTTTGCAGGCAGCTTCTTAAAGGTCATCATGTGATTGTGTTGGGTAACAAGTTCATGCATGTATATCAAATACAGTTTTTCCCTTTAAAATATTTTAAAGCAAAGGACTAAATGTTGCTGTGTTGCTGCTTGAAAGTTTCTTTAAAAGGAAAAAAAAGTGTTTAAAGCACACATGTGGCCCTCGTATACCTAACACTATGCTCATGTATTTTGTGTTTGGATATCAGTACTAGAGCAGAAAGTACCTTGTGAGAAGCAGTCCTTATTTCTCAGTTAAAGGAGTTAATGAGTGAACATTAGCACCCTACATACAATAGATCTTATTAATGCAATGGCAAATCAGTTTCTACAATCACATAAACATAACCTGCAGGATCAGCAGAGTATCTGCTTCTGTTTAGAGCTCTGTTTGCATCTTTCTGCATTAACTCTTAACCATTTTTTCTCTCTTTTATTTACATTGCACTCAAGTTTCCCTGGTATAAAAGATTTGCAGGTGCAAATATGTCCTGCCTTCATTAACTTCCCCTCCCCTTTTAAATTTATGTGATTTCAATTTTCCTTCCCTGTACTGTTAATTAGGGGATCCTCTAATCAGTACCATTATCACAGTGGTATTCATGTTTAGGAAAGCTGCTAAACAAATGCTTGCAAAATTGCTAAATGGCTAATTAATGTCTGTTAATTAAGAAAATTGCTCATGGTAACAAACCGTGCCATTGCTGGCAGCAGCTAGAAGGCGAACACTTGTTGAAATTACTAACATGGCAGGTATAGAACATCTGTTCCTCTGCTTTTCCTGAAGTGTGTAGCTGCTTCTCATAATGTACTTACAAGTCTTGTTTGCTTTCCAGACCAATTACAATTCTGTTCTTATTTTAGGGGTGGGGGGAATTGCACAGGGAACATATGTATATCAGAGTGTGAATTTGGGTTCTGAAACACAGTTGTTTAAAATGATTGTCTTTTCAAGAAGGGGAGGGAATTAATACGGTGTTTGATCCACCAAATCCAGCATTACTACATTGCAGCTGGAAAACTACACAAACCACTTTTTTAAAATCTTAAGGCACCTATAGTATCTTTTTTTCCCCCCAAAATAAATTTACTTACATCATTAGATATTTTATCTTGGTGAACAATCACAGTTAGGATTTCAAAAGGATTCTAGTCTTGCATATGCAGACATTTTTAAAAACGTGAGGACTATCATCCTGCTGTCGCTGCTAACTTTCCAGTTATGGAGTTCTGTCTGGCGGAAACATGGGAGCAATCTTTTAAGCAAGATTTTTCTCATAAACCTTCCTGTTGTACCAAATTCTTGACCCTTTTATCAAGTGAAAGCACAAAGTAATCTTGCTAATCTGGTAGGAAAAGTATCGTGGCTACCCAAGTTTTGAATGCATTTTTTAACCAGTTAACCAAATACATTCGATGATGCCGCCCTGGGGAATATTAAGACAAAGAATACATTGTAGCAGAACCAGTTTTTGTTTAATTTCTGGAAGCTGTTTTGTCCAAACCCATATCACAATCTATACAGCCATAGCAAATGTTTCAGTTTTGTTTACTCAAATAATTAGAATAAAGCATGTATTAATGCAGACAGATGCCAGGGCACAGTTGGTGGACATGTTGCTTGTCTGTGGTGCCATGTGTGCAACTACCAGAGTGAGACTAGACGAGGCTATTTCTTTTAGATATTTTGGAGATGATTATGTTAATTGAGATCACAGTTTGCATTTATTAAGGTACAGCAATGAAAATGTTTGCTTGCAGATTATGTGTTCCCACACGTTGCACCTATTTTAGTTTGTCCATGGAACAGTGGAGCTCTAGCACTGAGTCAGGCTGCCTTTCCAGCAGTCCAGACACTGCAAATGCCAGAGGTCACAAGTGCTGTCAGTCACACAGAATTCTAGGACAGACTTGAAAATAAGATGTGGATAAATAATGTCACATTGTCAATTACCATCTGGTTTTAATTCCTTTCAAGAAATTACACTTGCAATTTCAAGCTCTTTCGTAGAGCCACAGCTACTAGAAAACCAAGTTTTAGGAAAATTTTAACAGATCCAGGTGCTTCAGATATATTTCCCAACCCCTTTCTCCCATCTTTCTTGGGTTATAGTCACTCTTCTAATGTGCTTGACAGTTATTGATTTCTCCCCTCATCCCCACATTTTTTAAAAAGTTTGCTATGTGTAGAAAACAACCCTTTCGTTCCCTGTGAAGATTCACCAAGTTATCCTATTAAGCCAGCTCTTTTCCTGCACATTCATGTGCCTTACCTATAACCACGTTTTACTATCTAACCTCACAGGGACCGCCTGGCTCTCAGCCCTCGCCACACGCACAGCCTCCACCTCACAACCCCAACAGCATGATGGGACCCCACAGTCAGGTAAAGATCTTGCAGGGCACTGCTATGATATTTGTGTTCTGTGTGAACTCTTTAAGCATGTGGGAGCCACACTCTTCTGCTAATTAACTATTTACAGCTCCAGTGTAGATCGTGGAGCTTTGTGGATTTATATCTACTCAAGTTATGGGCCCCGATATTGATTTCATTCCACATCATTCCACCTCCACTAGGAAGCCTGTTTCTATTAGCTGTATTTGTTCCATTGACATTAGATTAGAATGTAGCTTTCAATTTCAGACATGCTAATTTATGTACAAATATCATTTTTAATTCTTTTTTATGAACAGTATTAGACATTCATTATGTGGTTTAAGTACTTGTCTTCTACTTGTCATTGGTATATTTAAAACCCTCCCCTCCCCAAACTTCACTTTCATTTACCAATCTATGAAAAAAAGACTGTTCAGTTGGTATGCTCCTTGTGCTAATTTTAGCAGCTGTATCTGATAGTGTCAACATTCATTAAGCTATCTAATTATTTTTTAAAAAGTCTCTGGCAACAAAGGCCAGAGACTTAAGAGTCTAAGTATTTCTTACTTACAAGCATTTAGTTTTGTTTAAAGAATTGTTTCTCTGTAAATGTATGGATTTGAATTACAAGTTGTATGAAATACAGTATATTAAATCTTTCATCTAGTCAATCTGGAGTGTGCCTTAGAATTGTTCTGTTAATCAAAGCATATGTGTGTAAAATAAGGGAAAACACAATCAGTTTAGATATTTGAGGTGCAGCTGCAAGGAAGTGGCTATAGTGTTTACTTTCACTTTTGAGTGTACATTGCCACTGAACTAATTTTATATACTTACAGCCTTTTATGTCACCAAGATATGCAGGAGGTCCCCGGCCCCCCATCAGAATGGGAAACCAGGTATTGTATTTCTCATATCTTCATGTCAATGTATTTTCTAAAGCACAGTTCAGGCTTAGATGTACATGAATGAAAGGAAAAAACTTTTAACATTGAGGTTGTAGCAAGTTTTGACAAAACCTTCTCCTTCCTTCCTCAAAAGTTATTTTAAGCATGCTTAATCTCAGGTAGCATTTTCCTGGCAAGAACACAAAAGCATAAATGAAGTAAATAATGGGAGCTTGGAGGCTGAAAAATGAACTTTCTATAGTCAGCTTCCTGCTTGGTTTTTTTAAGCACACCTCCTGCCCCAAAAAACTCACATTCCCATTGAATGTTAGATTCTTTGGAAGACTATCTCAGCAAACCATCGTCATCTCACGGGATTATTGTAAGAGACTACAACACAAGAAAAGTCTTGTTGAAAGGCATATTGAATACAGTGTTTTGTTCTGACGGTGGTCAGATGCCTACAAGAGGCCTACAAGCAGGGCATGAGGGCAATAATCTTCTCCTGTTTTTCATTGCCAGTGATTGATATTCAGGATCATGCTGCCTCTGATCCTAATATAGCTTCCTAATCAGTGTCCATTGCTAGATTTGTCTTCCATATCTGCTCGTTATATGAATTGCAAAAACAACAAGCCGGTATTAGTATGATGGTGTCTTTTAAATGTGGTTCTAATGCACTCATACTGTCTTGTGGTTTGAAAGTAGTCTTGTCAGTACTGAAGTATGGTTGAAAACTGGGTTCTTCTCTCTGTTTATTACATGTGTGGCCCGTGCCTGCATGGAGCCTCACTAGGGAAGCTTCTGTAGTAGAAGAGTCTTTAGTGGGAAGCCTTCTCCACTATCTAGGATGCATGTCCTTAGTGGGAGCCCACTTATTCCATCAGTTCTTCTTTGACCACCATTGTTGTTGCTTTGCAAGGAGCTTCTCTTACCTGTTTGAGAAAGTTAGCACACTTATTGCAGAGCTTTGGTTTATTCTTCACTTTTTGTCTTTTCTTCTATCATTTCTGTTTTAATTTTCTTTTTGTTTGTGATCCATGGACTGCACTAGCGCATTGTGGCATATGACCCTGAAGGCCCTCTTTTGCAAATGTGTTAGGTGCAGTAGCAAGCTCCCACCAACAGTTGGGCGCTCTCTCTGTTTTGTTTGAGAAAAGATCTACTGGCTGAGGATTTTCATCTAAACATGGACTTTTTCTGTCTGTATACACATATTGGATTCTACCTTATATTGATCTTCTAGAAAGCATAAGTCCATGAACAAGAGGGAATTCACAAGTCAGTTGTGACCCATGCAGTATCACTATAAAGGTCCATTCCCAGCTTCACACATTCATAAACTTTAAACATAAGAAATATGCCAAGCACTGTGATGAGAGGTTGCTTATGCAGGGAGTAACTGTAGACTCTTTTCTGGAAAAAGGCTCTGATTTTCTTGGTCTCATGCATGCATATTAGAATCATTCCCTGAGAGACTAGCTTTCTGGTGGTGGTTTTGTAGTTTACTTTTTGCCCTGGTTTTTAGCAATCTTCCATACATTTTGTTTCAACACGGGTGCTTTTAGTAGACCCATGAAGTGCTCATAAGGTTGATGACATCTTAAGGATGTAAGCTCTATTCTACATAATTATTTCCAGAAGAATGATGTAGTCATCATGAGGAACTTCAGTTTCCCTAACATATGCTAGGAGACAATTACTGCCAAACTTGGCCCCTCCAAGAGATTCCTGACATGTATTGCCAACAACTTTCTTCAGCAGAAAGTAGAGGAAGGTATGAGAAGATCAGAAATCCTCAATTTTTAATACTAACAGAGGTGGCCTGATGGACAAAATAACAGCCATGGGAGCACTGGGGAAAAGTGACCATGTGATACTTGAATTCTCAGTTATAAAGGAGTCAGAAGGTAAATGCAGCCATACACACATCCTAAACTTCAAGAAAGCCAAATTTAACTAACTCAAAAAAATAAGTGAGATGTCATGGCAACTCACTCTTAGGGAAAGGGAGTCCAAGAGGGATGGGAAATCTTGAAAAAGAAGATTCTCCAAACAGAACTATGAACAATTCCAACAAGAAAAAAAAAAGTAGAAGACAACAGAGGAAGCCCATATGGGTCTACAACAGGGGTCTCAAACTCGCGGCCCGCGGGCCAATTGCCAGGACGGGTGGGGCACTTGGGAGGGGCCCTGCGGCCTTCAAAGCGCCAGCGGCGCCAAGGCCAGCCTCCAGGAGCAACATGGGATGAGCGGCCCACCACCACCGTGGTAGTGAAATACTTGATGCGGCCCAACCTCACCCAGACTCTACTTCCAGCGGCCCCCAGGTAAGTTGAGTTTGAGACCCCTGGTCTACAAAAAGTTGAGTGACAACCTAAAAGAAAGAAAAAGGAAGGAGGTGGAAACAGGGCCAGGCCACGAAGGAAGTATATAAACAAATAGCAAGGAACTGCAGGAATTGCATCAGGAAGGCTAAAGCAGGAAATGAACTAAGAATAGCAAGGGATGCTAAGAACAACAAAAAAGCTTTCTTCAGATACATCCATACCAAAAGATGTGTGAAAGAGAAAGGTGTCCAGCAACTTAAAGTGGGTGGCAGAGTGATACAAAACAACAAGGAAAAGGTGGAGGTGCTCAATTCCTACTTTGTCTCAGTCTTCTACAAGAAAGTCTACAACAAAGAGGAAGTACAAGCTGAAAGTGAGAGATGGCAGCCCAAGATTGACAGAAAAATGGTCAAGGAATATCTAGATGGAATCAACACATTCGACTCTCCAGGGCCCAATGAACTCCATTCCAGGGTCATAAAAGAACTAGCAGAGAAACTCTAAGAACCGCTGGCTATTATCTTCAATAAATCCTGGAAAAAAGTGCCACATGACTGGAGAAGGGCTAATGTCATCCCCATCTTCAAAAGTGAGGGAAAAGATGAACCTGGGAACTAGAGACCACATAGTGTGACATTAATCCCTAGAAAAATTCTGGAGCAAATTATTTAAAAATCAGTCTGCAATCACATCAAAGAAAATGAAATGATTAATAAAAGCCAACATGGATTCATCAAAAATAAATCCTGTCAGACTAATTTAATCTAATTTTTTACTGGGTAACTACCCAAACAGAGGAAACACTGTGAACATAATCTACCTTGACTTTAGCAAAGCTTTCCACATAGTGCCCCACAACATTCTGATAAGCAAATTAGCAAAAACTGGACTAGATGGAAAATCTAGTACCATATTTTTCGCTCTATAAGATGCACCTGACCATAAGACGCACCTAGTTTTTAGAGGAGGAAAACAAGAAAAAAATATTCTAAATCAAATGGTTTACTAAACTATTTAATAAACTATAACAGAATACAGTAATACCGTATTTCAACCTTGTAAAGTGAACAGCAGTCAACAGTGGCATTAAGAACCATCATCACTGTCATTAACAAAAGAGAGACTTTAAACCCTACCTCACAGGGTTGTTGTTGTGGGGATAAGATGGAGGAAGAGAATGATGTAAGCTGCCTTGAGTCCTTTGAGGAAAAAGGCAGGATATAAATCGAAATCGAAGTTTGAGTACTCTTCTAGTTTTCGTGGAACCCATAGAACTCATCATCACTAGAGTCAGAATTTATGAAGCTCTGTTGCTCACAATCACTGACATCACTTTCTTAGTCAGTAGTGGAATTATTGAAGGAATCCACAATCTACACCAGTTATACAAGAGCTGCTGCAGACAATTTAATAACAAATCTAAAAAAGCCAGTAATGTCCACGCTGCCCTACTAGTAAATAATAGAAAAAAACTTCTGACAAAAAATGAGATATTGTACGGTAAATCAAACACGCAGCGAACTAAGTAGCCTTTGAAGAATAAACTTCATACACGAAGGTAATGCTGTTCAAATATCCACTGATCCTAAAAAAAATGTGTCTGATCAACTAACAGAGAACTGATCCATGGAAAGCTTCCTGATAAACACATGCACATTCCCCATCACTTCCCCATGGGCTTCATTAAGAGACGGGTTGCCATTTGAAAACACACACTGACCTGTGATTAACAGCTCTCACCTGCGCCGGAGGAGGGGGGTGGAGCAGGGCGCGCCGAACGCGTGCCGGCCAGGTGGTGCCACGTGGGGCCGGCAGCATGCTGGCGGTGGTCTTCCGCGCAGCGGCAGGTCTTCCCAGGCGGTGGGGGTGAGCAGTCCGTCTCTTCGTACGGCCGGCGGGTTAAAGCCCTCCTCCTCCGCACCCCTCCCCCTGAGCGGCACAGCTCTCACCTGTGCCGGGGGGGGGGGCAGCGGAGCAGAGCACGCCAAGCACGTGCCGGCCAGGTGGTGCCACGTGGTGCAGGCGGGCCGGCAGCATCCTGGGTGTCGGGCACACACACATTTGCTCTATAAGACGTACAGACATTTCCCCTTACTTTTGAGGGGGAAAAAAGTGCATCTTATAGAGCGAAAAATACAGTAGGTGGATCCAAGATTTGCTGCTAAATCAGACACAGAGTGCTCATCAATGGCACCTTCTCAAATTAGATGGAGGTAACTAGTAGGGGGTCACAGGGTTCAGCCCTAGGCCTAGTGCTTTTCAACATCTTTATTAATGATTTAGATGAGGAGGTTCAAGGAAAAGTAATCATATTTGCAGATAATACAATACTGGGTGGAATAGTGAAAACCCTAGAAGGACAGAATGAAGATCCAGGGTGATCATGATAAACTTGAATGCTAGGTTGAAAGTAGCAAAATGAGATTCAAGGACAAGTGCCAAGTCTTCCACGTAAGAAAAAGAAACCAAATACATCAATAGTAGATGGGGAATACATGGGTCAACAGAGCTGAAAAAGGAGTTATTGTGAACAACAGGCTAAATATGAGCCTACAATGTGATGCAACTGCAAAAAAGGACAAATGCTATTTTGGGCTACCGTAATAGAAGTATTACTTCCAAATTACAAGAAGTAGTAGTTCCCCTATACTCCTCACTCAGACCTCATCTGGAATACTGTGTCCAGTTATGGACACCAAGAATTAAGATAGATGCAGAAAAATTAGAAAGGGTCCAGAAGAGGACAACAAAAATGATCTAGGGTTTGGAAACTGCCCTATAAGGGGATACTGAGAGAACTAGGCATATTTGGCCTTGAGAAGACTGAGTGGGGACATGATATCTCTCTATAAGTACCTCAGAAGCTGTCACAAAGAGGAAAGTCAAGATCTTTCTTTGCTGAGAATGTAGGACACGGAATAAGGAACTCAAGTTTCGACAACCCAGATTCAGTCTAGATACTGGGAAAAGTTTCCTCACTGTCAGAGCAATATGACAGTGGAGCCAGTTGCCTTGAGAGGCTGTGGGCTCTCTCACACTAGAAACATTCAAAAGAAACTGGACAATCATCTGAGTGGGATGGTATAAATTGGTAACCTGCAATAGCAGGGGGTTGGACCCAATGACCACCTTGACCCATTCCAACCCTACTATTCTATGATTCTATGAAAAAGGTAAAGCATGAGAATGCTTGCTGGGAAAGAGTATGTGCTGCTCCAAGCACAGATGTAAAAATGTTAAAACAAGCAAACTTTATGATATGGGGCAGTACCATATCTGCCTGTGCACTGGTGGGACTGGCCATTAGAGGTAGGAAGAGTTAGTGGTTTTTAAAATACTAAGAAACTAAAAGAAATGTGTATTTGGAATGTGGCAGCAGAGTGTCTGGAAAAACCTCTCTCAGTCTGAAAATAACCATTTTCTTTAATTTCTAGGCTTCCTTTAGAAAGGGTGAACTCTTGATTTTGGTAGAGGTGGCTCTCATTGGAGTCATGGAATAAACAGGAGCACAATATAGGTTACTGCCTATGGTGGTCAACTGCTATCAGTGGACATATTGAAAATTTTGACCTTCTTACAATTTCTTCAGTATCTAAGGTTACCAACTACTCCCATCTTGAACAGTGATGTTGTCTCCTAGTTGAACAAAGAGATCTATTTTTTTTTTCAAATTAAGAAAATGGTGGATATTGAACGCTTGCCTACAATTTGTCTCTTCAAGGGAAATGTATCTGTTTTCTCCCCTGTGCTATCGATATGGTAGAAGGGATATGATGAACTTGAAAGAAAAGGAAAATTAAGAATTCTAGAAAATAAACATTTTAATACTGTTTAATACTGTGTCTGTTTAGTAAAATAGAAACCTAGTGAACTTGTTGATGGAATGTCTATTCCATTGGCAAATAAACAATTCTAATATAGTTACACAACACATTTTCCAAGTATATACCTTAGAATTATATTAGCATCACTAACATTTCATTCAAGCATCTTCATTCTGAGACTCAGGCTATGAACAAATGATAACTTTTCCAGAAACTAGAAGATATGAGACATGCATGAAAAGCATGGTAGAGCCATTGTTGCCAGCAAATATATGCATTTGTTTTTCTCTCCTGTTGCAGAAGTCTGGTCAAGCAAGTTTTGCAGGTTTTTGGAGCACTCAGAGTGTCACATAACTGGTTTGACCAGAGACCCATAGCAGGACAAGAATGGTTTTGTAATGCAACCTTTGAGTCCTCCCCTCTGCAAAAAGATTAAAAAAATGGATTGGACCCAGACTTAGTCGTACTCAAAGTAGGCCAACTGAAACTAATGGAACTACTCTTAAGTAACAAGGGCTGATTTCAACCCCACATCCTCACTTTTCAGATATACAACAACGGGGCAGTCCTTTTGTCTTAAATGCATGCTGTTTACCAGTGTCACTATAAGCATAGTTTGGATTAGACAAATCTCCATGGTCCAACATGCAGTAAGAGTAACAATTTCTCTTACATAGTCTTCTGTTACATAGTTTGTAATTAGGATCATAATATGAATTAATATAAATCATGGCAGGAAAGTATCCTTTGCCAAGCTAGATAACTTTCTGATGGTGCTTTTCAGACATCACCCACTGAAATGCTGCACCTGTGGCCGGGCACTGTGATTCTCCTCTGTTTTACAGTAGTCTTCCCCAACCCGGTGTTTCCTGCTGCTTTGCACTTCAGCTACTTGAAGTTCAAAGCATTCATCTTGAAATATTTCTGTATTTTTCAGATGCCTCAATTTTTCTTTTTTAACTTCTTTTTTCCTATCAGTACAGCAAATACCTGCACCATGCATTTTGTAGCAATTGTTGCTTTACCACATTTTCAAATTCTGTTCTGTCAATTATTTATGAAGTAATGGAAAAATTGTTAAAAGAAAAAAAGAGTAAATTTGTTTTACTGTTCTTTAACGTATGCATTGTGCAATTTCAGGGAAGATTATAATTGGCAAATAACCCTTCCCAAATGTTGGCAATCAAAATAAGAATTGATAATATCCAAGGAGTATTCAGACAGTTGGCACAGCCAATTGCCTATCCCAGAGAAACTCTCTAAGCTGCTGTAAACTCACAGTAAAACGGCTTGCCCTATCCTGGTGCTCTCCAAATACGTTAGAGTTAGCTCCCATAATTCCAACAACTGTGCTGGTTGAAGGCTGCTTTACAGCATGAAAAGCATGATTTCTGGAAGCACTCGTGGACTGTATAAAAGGAAGGCTTGTTATCCAGAGTAGGTGGGAGCATATGAGATTAGCTATTGCTTCAGCAAATCCTCATTCACTAAGGTAATCTGGGGGGTAAAGGGCATTTAAAGGGTAAGAAACAAGTGAAAAAGCAAGCTTCTCTGCTTTGTTTTATTTTCTTTCCACCCCCAGCCCTGCATCTATGTCTGTTTCTGCTATTGACTTGGAGGGAGGTGTACTTAGAGCAACCTGGAGGAGGGATTTTCAGGGAAGAACCACTGGCAGGGCAAAGATCAAACACCACCATTCCACCAACGAATTCTGCCCTGCAAATGCTTGCAAATTTAGTTTTATAAGACAAAACTTGTGGTCTGGGAGATTTGGTCCATCACATCTAGAGGACACCAGGTAAAGAAAGGCTTGTTTAAATGATACAAACTCTCTGGAAAATTAACTCCTATCTCTACCATGCCTAGAGAATTTATTTTATGAGGCAATAATAAATAAATCTCCTTGAAGACTGATGCTTCTGAAATTGACTATTCCGTTGTCAAACAGAAAGAACCTTTTGACACACACACACTCACTCACTCACTCCAGTTGCTGAAGCTTATATAGCAAAGTAACTATGGTAATCTTTCTGTGTATTTGCAAATATCAATTTTTCCATTTTTTTTCTTTCTTTCTAGCCTCCAGGGGGTGTTCCTGGTACACAGCCCTTGCTGCCCAACTCAATGGACCCCACACGACAACAAGGTACGCTTAACTGCAGGTGTTCTTCCCTCTTGGCTCTCTTAGTAATACATTTACTCTTCTGTAATAATGCAGCATCTTCTCTTTTCTCTTACTAGGGCATCCTAACATGGGAGGGCCAATGCAAAGGATGAATCCTCCCCGAGGAATGGGACCCATGGGTCCGGGTCCACAGGTAAAACCTGGGCAGAGCATTTATACCCTGTCCAGTGCCAAATAATGTGCTTGATACTTTATAATGTTAGAGAGCAAAACATCATAAAAGCAGTCTCTGGGGCCTTGAAGAACTAGGAGTACTTCCATCCTCCCAGACCCTTTTTCTCCCTACCATTAGTGATAATGCATTTTACATTAGTGTGTTTACATGTGTCTGGAAATATCCCACCTTCCAACATCCTAGTTATGCCTTCATAAGTGAACATCCTTATGTCACGTACTTCATGTGCTCATGTACCCCCACCTTCCATCTTTGCTCTTTAGTCCAAATGCACAAACTTTTATTTAATTGGGCTTTTGTCAGGAATGAATCTTCCAACTCAGCTTGATAACCTTTGAGGAGTAGGGAGGAAGGGGTGGGGAGATTACAGGTATAATGCTGTATGTATTTCAAAACACATTATTTAATAATTAAATGTGCTGCAATCTATTCTGCTTTTATTTGTTTCATTCTTTATATGAGGGGCAGATAATCTATGGCTTTCATCTTGACTGCACAGCTGTACTGTTGATTTGTTGGGGGAGGCTGTTTTCTGGGGTGCTTGGCTTCCATACTTTACTACATGCTACAGGAGTAATTCAGGAGGAATAAATAAGAGTAGGACAGTTGTGATATTTGCATTTCTCAGATGCATTCCATGGGCCAATTGTTGCCAGTATCTGCTTTATACAGTTCTGACTTGATTGGAGAAATCTGGATAGCTTTGAAGGAAGAGCCCTTGATTGTGAATATCTAGTCTTGTTTGCACAACATAAGAGCCACTGTGGGTTAACTCACAGTGAGGCTGCAGCAGTATAGGGCATATGCAGCCTGCATATTCAGCTGCACATGTACTGTGTCATGCAAGGAGTGTGGGTTATGCAAAACTTAAGCAACCTTTGCATAATCCATGGTCTTGTTTTAGGGTTATGTAACAGTTGTTTAACCCTCACAGAAACCATGCTTACCACATTTACACAACATGACAATGACCAACTGGAGGTTGGATATGAAAACTGGCTTCCACAGCCATGATGAAGTGCAGTGTGACATGAGAAACTGATCAATTATTTCTGTTTGAGGATCCAGTATTCTGCTAGGACTTAATTCTCCAGGCCAGCTGTTCAAAATATTGTAAAGCACAATTCCAAAGTTCATTTAGTGACAAGAGGTGAAAGATCCTCTTTTGACATCTCACCCAATTAACTTTTTGTTTGCATCTTGGTTGTATCAGGTTGAGGTGGAATATGTTAATTTACTTATTGTAGTGCTGATGGTACCAAGGAATATGCATCTCTTCTTTCACAGGCTTGCTCTTCGCTTCTCCATGGACCCTCCCTTGCAATTCTGCTCTCTCTTTGTCTCTCTTGGCATGCTCCTTCCTGAAACCTGACAAGCTGAAATACCTGTCTTTACCTTGTCACATTAAACCTTATGGAAGTTCAGGCATGTTTTTCCTTGACTTAGGATGACTACTAGTGATAATTTAACTCAAGGTCCCTTCCTGTATGGTGCATGTAGTCATATTGGGAACTACTCATTAGTAAGAATTTATAGTGAACACCTCCTGTAGCATCCAGCCATATGGTTATAAAAACTTTATATTACATATTACACAAGAATGTAAACATTCCTATGCCCCTACCCCAATTTTCACCCAGTGACAGAGACATGCTAAAATCCTCTTCCCTGCATTGTTGCGTGTTGGATATGTGCAGCTTCCCTGCATAGTTATATGTGCACCACAGTTTTAAAAAAGGATAAATAATTACCTGTTGTCACTATTAGTGAAGGTCATGTGTATGAAACATTACAGATCTTCTGGGCTCAGTTTTTTACACAATATATAATTCAGGCAATCTTTCAAACCATGATATGGAGGATCTTGAATTTTCTGCATGTTGCATGACCCCTTGTCCCCTCCAATACTCCAGTGCCTTTCTATTTTTTCAGGTTCCTCTAACAATGGTTTATTGTCTCACTGGAATTTGGCAAACTATGATTAACAGTAGCAATGATTCGTAATCATGGTTTGAAGTATGGGTACAAACTATAGTTTGGAGCTTGGTGGTAAACATCATTTGCTTAGTTTAAGCATCACATTAAATTATGGATGAAGCAACCTGGAAATAGAGCAAAGGGGAAAAGGAGTGTGAAAATGTGTAGCATACTCGTGGTCCTCCAAGCCATGGTTTGGAACACTTGGACTGCCTCTGTCATATATTTTAAACAATACTATAGTAAGTCAAAAACAAATTGGATGCATTCCTTAACATTTTATGCTCTTCTGCAAATGTCCCAACTCACAGAGTCCCTCCCAAAAAGAGAGATCATGAACTATCACCATACTAGGCCATGAATTCCTGTGGCTAATGCCTTTTTGAAAACATTTGACAAATCCCCACAAGGTTGTCATTTTAAGAAGGAAAAAGATAAACTGTTTATTTGGTTGCCTACTTTGCAATGATCTTGTACTGAAAATCTCCCATTAAATACCTTGGAACTGTTGCTGCAGCAAAAGTACTGATCATTACAAAGTCCTTTCCTAGAGCTACCTGGGAATACATGCTGGCCCTGCAGTCTTGGTACTGCTGCTGCTAACAGGTTAACCTCAGTTTTAGAGGGTCACTAACTGGGGCAGCCGTTTCAGGATGTGCTGATGAAGACTAGAAAGAAGGTATAAGCAATTGCAGGATGGGACCTAGATTTGGGGGAAGTAGACTGGTAAAGACAAAGTTACAAAGGATCTATTGTTATGGACAACTTTATTTCATGATCTTGTTAAAGCTGTGATTGCATAATTCCCAAGAAAAGAATTAGAATAGATGCACCATGTGCTTACCTTTAGGTTTCTAAATCCTATTTACATAAATGAATGCTGATTGTAATAGCATAGCGTTTCAGACTAGTTTCTGGAGTCTATCATGTGAAGAAAATGAAGTAAAACAGAACTTCATACTGTTGCAAAGTAAAAACATGTCCATTAAGACTCCGTTGAAGCAGGGTACCTCCAGGAAAGAAAAATTGGTCTACATCATAACAATTACAGGCAAGCCTAGACTGCACAAGCTTTGTTATCTATTTTAATGGTCTGGCACTGTTAGTGATGGTACAAAGCTCTCAATAGTCCCCCATGTATTATTACAACAGCTTGCATCTGTTACAGTTGCATTAGCCAAAAAATGCCTCAGAAGTTCTGGATGTGCTGTAAATATTGAACAAAACAGGTACTTGCCACCCTAACCAAACTGCATACTTGAAATAGTTACAAGCCATATGGAATTAAGATTTCCAAGTTGTAGACCTGTAAGATTTGCAATGGTGGAAGCTGCAGCCATTATGAGTGTGACTGAACAATGTCCTAATAAAGCCACATATGGAAGTTACAGAGAAGAACCTTTTGTGTGTGCCATGCTTCCCGTTGAAATTGCTTTTGCTCACCTTGCTGTAGGTGAGGGATTGGGAGAAGATCACCTTCATCCCTGTTGCAGGTGCCCCTGTTACTAAACAGGGTGGGTCCCTGTTCCCAGTCAATAAGATGGAGAGTTGAAACATGTCAGCAATGCTGAGGAAAAACTAGTTCCCCTTGTCCTGCCCTCTACTCCATTTAAGCTATGGAGACTGCTGAATCTTTGGTGGAAGATATTTTTATGATTATTTAAAAAAAAACTGAGATTGTGATAATCCAAGATGGGTAAGCATTCCGCCAAGTAGTATGCTTGCCAGAGGTATGGCTGAACTGAACTCCTAATATTGAGCATATTTGTTGTGTCTAAACTCTATCAGGGCAATTAGACAGAAGTGCTTCATTCAATAATGTGGGTTCCTAAGAAACCTATGCCACAAAATCACAGCAGAGTTCTCTTCATACAGGGGAACATGATTCCACTAGCAGCATTTAAGCTTACTGTGTTTATTATTTAAACTATTGTCGGAACTTTTAACTACCCCTCAGGACAGAAGCATTGCTTGGTGCAACAAAATTGAACCCTTAGATTACAGAGGAGAAGTGTTTGGGATTGGAGCCAGCAAGGCAGCCAAAGTCTCTGCTGTCTTTCAGGAACCAAGAAAACCCCAGAATCCATAGTTGTTGGCTTGAGATCTAGATTTACAGCCTCAACAGGGGGAAAGGGAGGGGGGATAGAAACTTCTTCAGGTGTTTGAGCAAGTGCTCGCAGGTTTACTTTTTCACAATAAACTATAATTTCATTTCTGACCCTTAAACAGTAGCATAACATGGGATTCACAAGCATGATGGATTGGCTCTTCCTTTTAGCGAGCTTTCCTCATTTAGATTTTTCTTTGTGAAATGTGAGACCTAGTCCTATACTGATTAATTTATACTGAATCTCTTGGATATATAGTGAAGATTAATTCCATAAAAGTGAATGCACATGATGTGCTCAAACTTTAGCCTGCATTAGAAAATACATGGAGAAGCAATTTCAATTTTTGGCCTTTCTCTCTTTATATATGTGTGTTTAAAAAAATAAAATAAAAATTTGCATTTCTTTGACTGTCTTAGACCAGCATTTTGGTTTTTCATTGATGACCATAGACTTTTTGGAGAACTAAATACTTTCTTTAGAAAGCTGTTGCAACTCTTTTTGCTGTCAGCATCTCTTCTTCCGCACATCACATCACTTGCTGATTGCTGTATTCCTTATATCTTTCTTACTATCTCTCCCACTCAAGTTTCTCACCATTTTTTTCTGCTTCTTCCCGTGCAAGTAATCTACTTTGTCTACTATTTGTCGGTTTCATGTAGCAGGAGAGAGACTATTTTTGATTTTTTTGCTTTATTTGCTTGGTTTGTTTCTATTACTTTTCAAGACAACGATTTTGCATACTCTCCAGGTGCGGTTACTCCCTTAGTGATATACGTTGGCCATTACCAGAAGTCCTTGCCCATTGGGCATTCCTAGTATATTTCTACCATGAGAGGAGAACCTGGTGGCCTCAAATTTTTTTTTTTTAAATCTTGTTCTGCCAAAGAGCAAATTGCCACCACCCTGTTTTTATTCCTTGAAGTTGCTAATTTTGCCTGTATGTTCATTATCATCTTTTTTTTTAATTAAAGTTCATTTTCACAAACTAACCCTCTCGTTTTTGTTTGTTTTTTTTCCTTTCTCTTTTCTTCTCCGGTTTCCCTTCTCGTTATGGTAGACTGATCCTTGGTTATCATTGCAGAACTATGGCGGCGGAATGAGACCTCCACCCAACTCCCTAGGGCCTGGCATGCCTGGGATTAACATGTAAGGCACCTTCCATATTGCTGGCTTGTGATTAATGTCCTTCTGATGCAAGATATGGAAATAAATTCAGTTCCACAGTTTTACATTTGATTCCAATGCATGCATGCTAATGGCTGGTCTTCTCTTAATCTCTAGGGGTCCAGGAGCTGGTAGACCATGGCCCAATCCCAACAGTGCTAACTCAGTAAGTGTCATTTGGGGTGGGGGACACTTCATTTCAATCACTTGATCTGAAACACTTATTTTTCCTATACTGCTTTAATCACTTTAACCTTTAAATGGGCTGCTTACCCTTTACTACTTTCCCAGTGGAACTCATCCTGCAGGAGAGGCATGGTGGAACATGCCCCATTGCCCCTTTGTGCTCCTGTCCTGGTTCTCTGAAGATATTTAAAAACAATAGGTCTGGGAAATGCAATGTGTGAGTTACATGCATTGCCTTGGTCTCCTGGATACAGGTAATAGTCATTGACTCACTGACATTTAGCATGTATTTCTTTGGGTTCTTGGGCAAAACTCATGATCTGTAGGATTTATTTTGCATGAAATAGATCTTCTTCAAAGTCTAATGCCTGTACTCTCATCTGTTTACAGATTCCATACTCTTCTTCATCACCTGGTACATACGTGGTAAGTTCATGATGTGCCAGTGCATAAGATGATTAAACCTTTTGTTTGTGTGCACAAATTCACAGATTATGCTCGGGTCACAAATGCTCACAGCATAGCTTTGTTCCTTGACACATGGATGTGCTTCTGGGGTAATGCAAAAATGCTTGCAGTGTCTGACTAGTTACTAAGGAAGCTCCTTCTTTTTTCCCAGGCAGCATGAATAAACCTTGTCAGATTAGTACACCACCACTCTTGACTGTTGTTGTGTGTTCATGGTGCATTGGTGATAATAGATCATAGAAACATGATGTGGTCCTACGCATCTAAGAAGTACATTGCAGCATTCTGGGCTGCATGTTTTGCTTGCATCTTCTGCAGATGTGAAGGTTACAAAAAATGCCCCCCATTACTCCCCTGGCAGAAGATCCTACATGTACTTCTCAAAGATATGTGCCCCTGCTACCTCTCAGTAAAGCCTTCATTTTTCCTGAGGCTTAAACAAAGAAATTGCACTTTGGCTACAAGAGTGCATCAAAGGTTTTAGCAGGAGATTAATGCTTGGCTGAATACCAAGGTGAGACATGGTTGCTGACAGCAGCAGGATCTAGCTGACCTATTGCAGGCTATGTTATCACAGTGGTTCCTGATGTGTATTTAATCTTGTCAACAGGGGCCCCCTGGTGGCGGAGGTCCTCCTGGAACACCCATCATGCCTAGCCCAGCAGGTACGAGGGGTGGGAGGAAGCAGTACTAAATTTTTTCTCACTTGAAAAGAAACTGAGAGTTTAATGATGGGTGGCTTGTGTCTTCTGTTGCTTTTGATCTGAAGTAGCCCTGTCACAATTTGCATTCCACGGAGGCACTGTCACATGGATGCACACATTCAATGACCATAACACTGCTTTGAGAGGTAGTGGTTTTATCATCAGTACACCCCCCCCCTTCACTCCCAGCCCTGTGCTGATGGCTTGCATTCTATCAGAGCTTAAAATATGGGGAAGCTTCCCAGTAAGGGTGTGAGAAATGGGGTTAGAGAAAGATTCATCCATGCCATCAGCCTTTCTGGACTGGTTGAAGGCAGCTTGCATCAGATTTCAGCCTTGAGCTTTTAATAAGCAATGTGAAAGATGCTGCTGCTTCCCTTGACAAATAATTCTTGTGAAATTTGACACGTTGATATAGGTGTACTTTTTAAAAATCCTGTTTTCATGCTGGTAGACAAGGAAAAAATCTTGATGTTGGTTATTTGTAGAAACTAACTTGAACCTCTCCTCTTGCTCTCTCAGTATCGAAAAGGAATTAAATGAAAACTTTAAAACAAACAAATTCACCATCCCCCCCCCCCCCCCGCTCCTCAGATCAAAGTTAGGGCTGTTCTACTCTTACTCCTTTTAAATTATCCAGTGTTACATGTAGGAAAGCCAAGGGACTGCTCTTTCTGTTGTCAGCCACTGAGGTTGGGATGCTGCTAAATTCATTATGTTGACATGCAAGGTGGTTTCTCAGTACCATTTTGCAGAGGTGCTCACCAAGCACTCTCCTCCTCCTCCATCTACCTCCCCAGAAGGCCATGTAGAATCTGCTCCCTGCCTCCTATTTTCTTCACTGTAAAGTAGGAGGAGAAGAGAGAGAGAGAGAGTCAATGTCAGGGCTGGTGAATTTTCCTGACAGGCCTGCAAGGGTGATTTACTACACACTGTATGTGTCAGTGGTAAAAAGAAAGGGGGTGGGGAGGCTTTGGGGAGGTAGCCATGCTGCATGTAACGGTGGTGTACCACAGCTGCAGGGGTGGAGCTACAATGGAATATTACCACTGCCTTCCTGCTCCTGAATTTTTATGAGAACTCTGACCTACATTTCAGACTAGGTCATAATAAAACAATCCATATGTTAATGTAGACAGAGGTCTCTCCCCCTTCTTTTTTTTGTTCTAACACTGTAGCCTCCCTGTAATTTCTGTGTGCATTCACATTATGCAGCTTGATTTAAACATTGTACATCTCCTATTGCTTCCAGCATTAATGACTGATCTAGACTCCTGCTTTTTAAAAATTACGTGGCTAAATATCATCCATGGGTGTATGTTTTTAAGAAAAGAAATATGATGCTATAGTAAGATAATTGCATTGGCTAATTTTGAGGTGTTAAGTGACACATGGCAGAAAATTACCGTTCTACATCTCTCCTGGCAAGAAAGTCTCAATATCCTTGGTTAGTAGCAGGATTCTTTTCACAGTTGAATTTCTGTGATTAAAAACTTTGTGAATCTTCATTAAATACAAATTAGCCAGAAAATGGTGGTACTTAGAGAGAATTTTAGGTGATAAAATACAAAAGAATGAGTTCAAGTGGCATGAGTTTGTTTTAATTAAGAAATGAATTAATCACCCTGACTTAGTGGGTTTTACTGTTCTACAGATTCGACAAATTCAAGTGACAACATCTACACAATGATTAATCCCGTACCGCCTGGAGGCAGTCGGTCGAATGTAAGTCTGCTTTCTAATAATTTACATATCAGATACCATAACAAATCATAATTAACTTCATCAGTTGAGGGTAAAGCAGTTTAATTGATTTCAGCCATTTGTTACAAAACAGAAATAAAACAAACCATCAAAAAGTGATTAACTCTTCAGCGACTTTGTTAATTTTTTACGCTTATTAAAACAGTAGCGTTCATGCAGCTCTGGTCAAGACTGTGTCGTACACACTGCTGGCTTTTTAAAGGGGATGCAGTTTAAGCTCTGGTCTTCCTTGCCCCTTTGACTGAAGCTAATTACACAAGGCTGTTCTGAATATTTCCTGCCAGGTTTTTAGGAAACATCTGCAGCTACTTTATTTGTTCTTTGCAACACTGCTTGCTCCCCATTGGGAGGTGGGGAGGGCTTGGGCATAAGGCACTAAGGGGATGCCCTCCCTGTGGAGCCCCATCTCCTACTCCCTGCTGTTCCTACTGCCCAATTGCTTGCCTTGTCCCTCTGGGCTCAGTCCATGCTACTGCCCAGATGAAGGGGACATGGTGAGTGGTGGCTGCTGCTTTTGCTTCTCTTCTCCCTACCTGTTCACTTGCTCAGGAAGGGAGGCAAGCAGGCAGTGACTGTAAAGAGTAGTAACGAGAAGATGAGAGGTTCCAGGATTGTCAGCAGGCCCACTGCAGTACAGTGGGGCTCAGCAGATGGCCAAGAATCTAAACCTGGCTTCTCCAAATCAGCCAAACTTGGAGCGCTAGTGTATGCCTTTCAAGGTTTCTCCTGCCTCTTTGGCCATGACTGAATATCACCATCAGATTCTGAATTGAGCTTTTACAATGATCCTGTCTCAAGGTGAACCACAGTAAATGCTGCTAGCTGGATAACTGCTAAAAGAGCATTCTCTCTGTTTCTGAGATGACCTCCTTCAAAGCAGTGTAGATGCAGAAGCTTGCAGAAGTGGGTGGATGATCCCAGGGAACAAATAAGTGAAACGGCCAGAAAATGGTCTGAAGATTGCTGCTGTAGTTCGGTCCCTAAAAACTAAAGAAATCTAGTCCTGGCCCATACCTCATAGAAGACCATCAAGGAACCCAGTGTGTGTTTTCCTGGAAGAAATGCAGGAATACAAATAAATGGCATAGGGCCAAAAGGGATCGCGACTGGCTTTTGAAATGTTTTGGCAGATGGAATTTGAGAGGCTGAGGATTTGTAAAGCTGTTCATACTTGCACTCTCTGGTTTTTAGCTTTTTCTCTCAGCAAATTGGAGAATGTGCAGTTGTATTGAGCAGAGCTGTTTGTGGTGGTCGGAACCAAGATGCCACATACAAAGGACTGAGGTAGACATGACAGCAAAACGCTTGCAACCTCTAGCACAGTTGATAAGTGCAGTAGAACAATGAAGAACCTGTAAGATCTTGAAGCATTTTTTTTTTAAATGTAGAATTCAGAAAGTTTGTTTGCAAGCTATTGGTGACATCCAAGTTCCAAAGCTTATGGTTGCCAGTATACAAGGTAAATCTACCAAATGTCAATATTAATTAACATGAGTGACGAAAGTGTTATTTTTCCTTTCTCAGTTCCCAATGGGACCTGGATCAGATGGCCCAATGGGAGGCATGGGTGGGATGGAGCCCCATCACATGAATGGCTCATTAGGTAAGACAGCAGAAAATGTTGTCAGTAAGATGAATGGAAGATTATTGTGTTTAATTCTAGTTAGGAACATCTGCATGAAAGACATCCAAATTCTTCAGTGATTAAAGAAATTCTTGTTACACAGTTTGTGATTTAATTGCATAGAAAGTTTGATCATAAATAGCTATTAAATTTTACTTTTTGGTATTTTGTAGGAAACATTGCTTTAAGTTAGTGCAGAATGCCATTTTTATAGGAAAATCAACACATAAGCAGTTGAGCAGTTGTTTAAGGTATTCTTATGTCCAGGTTCAGAGTGCCTTGGGGAATCTAGCAGGAGGTTACACATTGGGGCACATTGTCTGCGGACCCAGGGAACCTTTCCAAGAGGCCCTCTGATTTACCTCCTCCTTCTCCCCTTCCTCCTGCACTCCCTCCCACTGACAGGCTGCTTCCTTTGTTCCTCAGCCCAGTGTGCTTTGCCCTCACTCCTGGCCAGTCTTACACCAGACAGCTGCCACTGTAATCTCCATCAATGCTTTATGCCCTGCTTTGGGGTGATACAGGAAATTAAGACAGTGGCTGCCCAGCATTAAACATTGGGAAGGGGGGAACCATGGAAGGGTTTCATCACAGGCATAAGTAATGGCCCTGCTGTGCTCAGCTGTTGCCTGAAGATGCCATGTGTGGATCTTTTCAAGACAGTGGAAGTTCGTTCAGCCTAGTACTGTGCAAAATTCTGCAGCAGGTGTTTTCTGACCTCATAAGCTACAGGGTTCTGTCGGTGTGTGGTTTTGTCCTCTGTGTTGTGAATCCTCTTTGTTCCCAGAGGCTTGTGACTTGTTCTGTGTAAGGAATCCACAGGCCCCAATCCTTGGATGTCCTTGCCATTCCAAACACTCACCGCATAGAAGAGTAGCCTGGGCCCAAGGACTGCTAGTCAGACTCCTAGGCTTGCCAGACTGCTGTTGATGGATAAAGGGGAAGAAGCGTCATGAACCTAACTGTGGTGTCTGTGTTTTAATTAAAGCAGCAGAAAGACCCATTAACCTCCTATGCTTGCCTTATACATCTTGCTGAAGTGGAGGTGCTGTACTCCATCTTGATCAGTGTCATGAAGCTCATGGGAGGGAGCCGCGGCCGTAGCAACTCGATTAGGCCATTTCTCTAGTGCTGTACAGGAAGGTGAGCTGGGCTCTGCTCCCAGGAGTTCTGTGTGCAAAGGAATGGCAGCTGAGGCTTCCCCAGTATGTCCCTTTCTGGAGGCAAATGTTAAGAGGTTTGCATTAGCCCAGCTGTGACCTGCAGCTCACTAATGTACTGCCAGCTGCTTCCCGGAAGGCCCAGCAATACCTTCCTGCAGCAGCATCTGATTTCTGGATGATAGTTCAGGGACTAAACACTGCAGTACCAAATGGATAGGCTGGATGAGGAAGCACTGATTGTGAGCAAAGAAATGTAATTCTTCCCACTAACAGCCTACTTTTTTCCCCTTTTGGTCTTCTTTCACAAGGGTCAGGAGACATAGATGGACTTCCAAAAGTAAGTCTGCATTTTGTTAGCTGTAATTAGGCTGGGACTACTTCTTGTTCTTGCTTCAATGGACAGAATGCCAGGGATACTACAAGGCAGGGAGGAGTGCCAAGACCCAACCACACTGGGTGTATTAGGGTGGCAAGACAAGGCTTTGTCAGAAAAGTTTCCATGGTTTTCCATCCTTGAGTCACCAGAGTAGGACATTTTTGCTGTCTGCTCTTGTGAGGGCCTAGATTTCCTCCTAGACTGAAGCTTCAGTTTAACTGTTTTGATTTGTTCTCACTGTGGAACAATGTGTTTTGTTGCAGTTGCTTCTCTGCAGCACAACGGAAAGACATCCTCTCACTTCTCTCTCTGTGTATGTGGTCTGTTTTGTCCATAGAATTCTCCAAACAACATAAGTGGCATTAGCAATCCCCCGGGCACTCCACGAGATGATGGTGAATTGGGAGGGAACTTCCTCCATTCCTTCCAAAATGACAACGTGAGTCATTCTTACACCAGCTCTTTATGCTGACAGGGTTTGAGCAACAAAGCTTGTTAAGCCTCTTTTAATTCATTTCTGAGGAAGAATCACTGATATGAGTGAAGAATAGTCATGAAGTGGGAGATGGTGCTATGGGAAAAATACATATAGAGAAAGTACATTCCTGGAGCTAATAGAACTGCAGAGGGAAAAAGACTTGGGTGTTTGATAAAATACTGCAGTCTGGACATACCTTTCAAACAAGAAGAGGGCAAATAGTGCCAAACCAAGATGATGTAAGTAAAAGAAACTGAGTCTATTTGGAGGCAAATGCAGGCAATTGGGTTACCACTTTGAAATGATATTGGAGGCAGATGGCAAGCAGCATAGAAATGTGTGTGGTTTCCTAGCACTTGAACATACAACAGAACTTAGGTGTGGACAGAAGAGAACACTGGACAAGCTACATGTAAGTACATGATGTTTTCTACACAGGAGTTTTCATATAGGAAAAGCGCAATGTATTGAGGCCATCTTGTTTGTCTTCTTTTTCCATCCATATATGTGGTGTTTTACAGAACAGCATAAACCAAATCAGGTCCCCGTCTTGAAGAACTTGCAGTCAAAATTTAGATGAGAACAGAGAGAAGGGGTAGGGAACTAGTAACACCAACTGTATTTTACTGTGTCCATAGAAGATGACCTAATCACCCCTTGTGATATATCAGTGGGTGTATGTACTTTAGTAGAATTTGTTCTGTCAGTGGTGGCTACATGACCGAGTGATACTTAATCATAAGTGGCACTTTGAGATCAGCAAAGTATGCATATTATAGAAGACCCTGTAAGAATAGGGAGTGTTGTCCTTTTCCTGACAATATTATATAGATGTGTAATTTTACCTTTTTAAAAAACATGTCTCTTATACTTCAGCCTGGCTGAACTTTTTACACTCCCTTTCACATGTGTGTGCACACACTCACACTCTTGGCTACAGGATAATTCTGGAATGGGAATGATTATGTCACAATAAATTAGTCTGTAACATATTCTAGCTCTCTGATTTATTGAAGCCAATTATGCTTCTTTATCATTTTCATAAGCCCACATTTCGTTCATGTGCCATTTTCTCAGCTTCCGCAGCATTTACATTTTGGTCTTGTTCTTCCTCGTTCTTACTCTGTGATTCTCTTTTTCTCCCCCACTGCCCTTCCCCTCCTCATGCAGTATTCTCCCAGCATGACGATGAGTGTGTGATTTCCCTCCTCCCTCACCCCACATCCTCTTCTCCAGGATAAAGAAAAAGTCAGCTGCCATTTGGAGGATCTCAAGAAATTATGCAAGAAGAGAAGCTAGGTGTGTGTTTGGCAGGGAGACGTACAGAGCCGGGGACCCACCCCTGATTTTTAGTTTCATGCAATAAAAAGGCTGAACTTTTTATTCCATAAAACAATGAAGGACAAATCTTTAAAATATTTCAAGACATGACAAGATCCTTCTTCTGTGGAAGGATTTATTCTATGTACATGACACTTTTTGCTGTTGATTTTTTTTGGAAACAAATGAAAGCCTCTAGCACCCAATTACAACCTCCTTTGCTTGATTATTCTTTTAAATCTGTTGTATGTTTGTGCTGTGCTACGCAAGGAAGCTAGTCTAGATATGAAATCTCATGTTGTCTCTGTAGCCATTTAAAAATAATAATAAAACTGGACAGTTTTTATAAATTGGTGGGTTTTGTTCAGAAGGCCTCCCCTCTCCCCCCACCCATTTTTAGTTTGGTTGGTTTTTTCAGTTTGGTGTTTTGCAGCACACTTTCTCCAGCAAGAAGATTCAAGTGGAAAATATTTCCTCTGCCTCCTTCTAAGTTGTAATGCAGCTGGCCCCCTTGTAGGATCACATCCTCCAAAAGTTTAATTGTGATCTTGATATCTGTGACTGTGGCATGCACTGTATTAGCCCTTTCCCTCGTCCTCCTCCCAGAGTTACAAAGAAATGTTATGAATTACCCTTTTGCAAAACTAAAAGTGTCAAAATTCCTGGGGATAGGGTGTGGAGGGTTAGGGTACTTGGGATTTTTTTTCAAATCTTGGGGAGGTTTTAGTCCACCAGAAATAAAAAGAAAAGGCGTTTAAAAACTTGATCTAGGACTCGAAAACTGTGAGCGCAAGCTTAACATCTGTTTTGGTTTTTTGTTTTGTTTTGTTTTTTAATGAAACGATGTGATCTTATTAGGGTTTCACTGTATATGCTCTGGAACTGGATGGAGATATTTTTAAGTAATTATTGTTGTTAAAATGTATACTTGCTATTCTGTAGGCTCTCTCTCCCTCCCCCACAACTCTGTAATTATAAACAAAATAATTAAAAAAAACCCCTTACCATCTCATGGTAGAGGTGACTACAGAAAAGCATCATGTATAGTGAAACTCGCAAGTCCTGGGATCTCTGTACATTACACTCCCTTGTAGCTGGTCTTTGTTTTATATAAAAAGAAGAAAAACTTCACTTCTGATCTATGTATTTCATATTATGTAAAATATTATCTTCCCCTGGATTTACCTACCTTTGTGCGGATTCTTGAGAACATTGTATCTTGTTTCAGTGTTTTTTCTTACCTTGTAGTCTGGTTCTAAAATGAAGCGAGGGAAAAGAAAAGTAATTATTATACATTGTAGTTTGTGTACGATATTTGTTGATAATGTTTTATTAAAGGGATGTCTTTTTTCCGCACCCCTTAATGAAATGTTTTTTTGTTTTTTTTGTTTTTGTTTGGTTTTGTTTTGTTTTGTTTTGTGAATTTTTTGTGGGGGGGGATTGGCTTGTTTTTATTCTGACTGAAAATGAAAACCATGTGATATTATATGAACTATTTTAATAGTACAATGATTTTTTAATGTTTGCCTTTTCTAAGGCATTTTAATTTTGTTTTCTCTGTAGAAAGATGGGGGGTGGGGGCAAATGATCAGTTTCACAGTTACAGTCAGGATAATATTTTTAAAAGACCAGCCATCAACACAAGAGTTGTCCCATTGCTAATGCAGCACCCTTACTGGATTTTTGTTTGTTTTGGGTTTTTTAAGGGATGACTGACAGATTTCATTGTATTAAAATGATAGCTAAATTATTGTCTTCATTGGTTTGGGATGGTTTTTAAAAAATGAATCAAGACCCCCTCGACTCTCTCTTCCCATCATGCTGTAATAAATATAAACATTTGATTTCAGTCCCTTGCTGCTTGTTACTGGTGATTTGCCGTAGGAGCTGTCGTCTGCTTCTCATGACTGCAGTGAGTTCAGAAGCCCTGGCACAGAGAGCATATGGCCCTTGATCACATTCTCATTCTGAAGACACAGCTTACTGCCCCTTACAGACCTAATAGGTTTGTTGAATTTTAGAGTCCAGCCTCACATTCCTTTCCACAGATTTAAGCACATCGCTTCCTTGCTACTGAAGGCAAAAAGAAAGGGTAACTTGAACTGTATAATATTTGTCAGTAAAAGAATCTCTCTGTAGGGCAAGATTGTGGCAGCAATTTTAAGTGTTTCTAATTCTTCTCCTAGAAATAGGTGCTTGTAATTCTCGTTATTACATCTTTACATATCTTCAGACCTCCAGACAGAGCACCTATGTTCTTTAAGAAGTAAAAACTTCAGTGTACCTTTCTATTAGATATTCAAGAGGAGCAGGAATACAACATACTGTGAAATAGAGATTAATACCACTTGGCCAAGGAGGACAATAACCTGTAGTTTTATTATTTATTTATTTATTTATTTAGAAAATTTCTAGGCCGCCCCATTCACCGAAGCCTCGGGGTGGCTTACAAATAAATAAAATACATAAATAACAATATAAAATACATATAACTGTATAAACTAACTGTTTTGCAATCTTTGTGGCATTGTTGCAATAAGGTCATTACATTCATGTAAAATTTGGATGACCAGTGTATCCATGGTGGCACCTTAATGCTTGTGAAGAAAGGGTATTTTAATCCAAGGGTACTGTAACCTCGGATCCTCTAGTATTTCTAATTCTGCAGGTTGGATTCAATGGACCATGTAATTAATTCAGTGTAGCTTGAGAGAACTTCGATCTTGTCTTCAAACTACACTTCTCCTTTTCCTAGCCCTTCTTGAAATTTAAAGGGAGTTTCACAAGTAGCTTGTGACATGGCATGGGAATATGCTGCTCAAAGAAATATAATCACTGTTTGTTTTGTCGGGGGGGAGTCCAAAATAGTCCTGTTGAGCCAGGAATTCACATGCAAAATACGTTATCTAATGAATGTATACAGATGAGCAGACTTGCAAAGGTATATATGAAAGTTGCTAATCCTATATGCCTACACTTGGTAGTTATTTTGTGACTCTCTTCCAGTGCACAAGAGGCATGGCTGTCAGTTGGCAGTAATTTTGGAACAAGCTGGCCAATTGTGCAGTTGTGTGCAGTTCTGTGCAGGTTGCTGCTAGAGCAACCTTCCCTAACATGGTGTCCACCAGTATATTGGACTGAATTTTCTATAATTCCAAGGAAGCATAGTTAGAGGTCAGGTATCCTGGGAGCTGAAGTCCAAACCGTCGGAAAGATGCTGGGATGAGGAAGGGTGTTACATAATAATGATGTCTTTGGAGGCTGCTCTTTTGGAGTTGATCCAGGGCAACAGCTGGTGCTCCCATGGTGATTACTTCTCAGCAGCAGCTTTTCTGTGGTGTGGAAATGTTTCCCGATGATGGTGATGAATAATCTTAAAACTGGGATACTCGGCTACTGGCCTTGTCATAGGAGGAAAGAATCCCAAAGATCAAGTCTGATATGCTGTGCTTTTTAAAAATTTTGCAATGGTCTTGGTCCTTCTACATCCAGCAGTGTGAGAAGTTGCCAAATGTATGGAATAAAAATACTACACTTGCTTTTCAGTGCTAGAATCTATTCTAAACAGCAGTTTGCTAGCCAACACAAAAACAGGCCCACAATATGATTCCCAAGCAAATTGGTACTCCTCAGGAAGCCTTCTGGCTCTCTACCAAGAGGACCCCCAGATCTGACCAACTGTCCAAAGTATTTTTACACACAGGGTTTTGTCTACAGGTCATGTTGCATACATGTTGATTCCTTTACATGTAGAAAGGCAAATGGCCTACATGCACAAGTGAATCCAGACAACGGTTAGGGAGCAAACCAGCTGACAAATGCTAGTGCAACAGTTCAGTTTCTACAGGTCAGGATTTCAAACCCTTCTTCCCATTTGCCATGCACATTTTTAATCCCTTATTTCTAATTTAAGTGAGCTTAACATATCCTCCACCTGACATTCTGAAAACATTAAATATTATTGTCTGTTCCAAATCCTGTATTAGTATTGATAAAATTGCAGACTTGTGTAATAGGCATACCCTGATTACAACAGATGGAGAAAATCTGATGGGTACTTTTAGAATCAGACCAGTCCCATAAGGCCACATGGTATATACAGTAAAATTCACATGATTTCAATCTGATTTATCCCCAGTTTGTGAGTCCTCTCACCAACACCACCCCCAGTGCAGGCCAAGGGCTGTGTGACATTTATAGAAGTTGCTATTTATTTTATTTTGGTTGCCAAAGTCATAGTCATTAAAGTTACTTTTCTGCATGCGTTACAACAAGATGGTTCAGAAAAGACATAAAAATTAAAAGGAAAATATAAATTTATTGCACATTGTCTAAGTCCATTTATATAAAACCTAAATCTCACTTGGATATTAAAAGCATCAATCATTTATGAATATTGCTATAGTCAAATCTTGAGCTACCCTCCACTTAAATCTTTCAGTAAACCCCAGGGATTCCCTAGAGGACCACACTCCTATCCCCCCCACCTATCAATCATAATCATATTGATGATTTCCCAGCTTCTGTGTAGTTTCACCTAATTCTAAAACATCAGCATGCCTCCCCTAAGGCTTAGTTACTTGCCACAAACATTAAATTAAAATAAGCTGACCTGCTTAGTGGTTTAGCCCTGCCCCTTTTTAAATTTTCATCCTGACCATTGTTGGTATGCGGCCCACAAACTGAAAGAGGTTCTGCACCTCTGCTGTACATGCTAGTGCTATTGCACATATGCAACCTTGCAAAGAAAAACGTTTCCATTTCTTTGGAGCAACGAAAGTGAAATTATTTTCTTGTATAGTTAGCAGTCAAGTTAAAAATCCCACTTCATGTTCAATTAACACTATTTCTGTCCTTATATCCACATGTAAAGCTTCCTAAACATTTTAAGAGGTGTATGTGTTTATGATACAGTATTTTTCAAAGGTATTGAACAGGTTAGTTTTGGCATTCCCCAAATGATGGGCCCAAGTGTGAAGAAAGAAGTAATGTAAAAGGAGCAGTCATACTGCTGCAGCACTTTTTAGCATTGTGAGCCTGACTTCCATACAGTTTGCACATGCTAGCAATTTGGCTGCCAGGTCTGCCTTGCTGGTTGGAATGTGGGGTAGGGTGGGGAGTTCTTTGACATCGCAATCAGCTTGACTTTTGTGGATGGATTTTCCACCATTCTGACCTGATGCTGTAGGAATGTCTTTTAAAAATTTACTTACTGCTTTATATTCTATCTTTCAATGTAAAGGTGTTTCCCTTAGAGCCATAAATGTCTCAAGTCCTGGTACCCAAGGAGCAGTCTTTTCCTATGTTAATCTCTATGTGCCACCCATAGGTGAGAACAATCGGTCAAGGAAAAAAAGGAAGGTAGCCTTTGTAAAAGGTTGATCATGGGATGCCTAACTTGTGAGATCTGTTTGACACATCTCTTGCTATTTTTCACCAACTAATTAAGATGTTCCAGTTTTAGCAACCACTTGTCTTGCAGGGTAGATACCTTTTACATGGTAAACCCTCATCATATAATAGTTTCTTTGAGAGCCTGTTCCTGTTTTTTATGCTGCTATTTATTGTATCAGGTTTTGTTTTAATTGTAAGCCACCCTGAGTGATGCAAATGCATCAGGAGGGGAGGGTATCTGTAGCTAAATAAGGAGTGTTGAACCTTGTGCAACCTTGTTGAACACTTCAGAGAAGCTATTGGGGGTGACATTCCAATGGTGGTTGGGAGTGAAGGCAAAAGAAGCAGCTTCAAAATGTCAGCATATTTTAGCTTAAAGCACTAGTAACTAAGCCTTCAGAGAGGCACTTCAGACATTTTAGAAGGGGGAAAAACTGCACAACAGCCAGGAAAACACCAAATGTCTACCTTAGCGCCATCTTTATTTGGGTTGAAAAGAGTGGCTTTGCATTTTAAAGCTCACTCTGTCTTCTACATGGTTACTTTTTGTGTAACTAGTTTACCTTCTAGGAAATGAGTGTTTTGTGATCAGCCAGGTCCTGCATAGCCATTTTATTAATGAGCAGGTCCCCTCCATGCTGGCTATTTTATGAGAACAGCCATATGACACCGTCAACATTCAAAATGTGCCCACCAATTCAAAAGGTTGGAGACCCAACCTTTATCCTGCATTTTTTTAAACTGCAATTGAACAGGACAATCCTTCAAGCTGTAAAAGAGGACACCTACTGTAACTTCTATCAGCTGTAATTTCTTACGAAACCAGGCCATGTCTGCCTATCAGGAATCTGTGGAGTTTCATAAGATCCACTCCAGTCTAAAGGACTGTGTACACGCATGATGAAGAAACAATCACAGTGACTCTGCTTGCGTGGTCAGATAAGTGTGTGCCAGCTGCCATTTCCCTAATTAGCAGCCAGGGTTCAGCTTGTACTGTCCAGGCTTGGATGGCATGGCTTGAGAGGAAACAACGCTCAAGCAAGCCATGGCTTGTTTGATTAAGTGAATCAGCCCAGTGTGTTCCACTGTGATTGGTTATGGCATTGAAAATAAACTTTCTCCAAAGACAATGTGACAGGAACTTGCTAAAAATCATACGTGGTTTGGGATTCTTCAGAAAGGTATGCCTGCATTCTTTATACAATTGACTTATACTTTTCTTGCACTTTATGGATAAGAATTGGTATATTCATGTACATAAGTCACTTATCAAATAGCTAATGATGTGTTATAGAATACTGACTTCCAATTTCCTCCTTTTGGTATGTCAGGTAATTACTTAACTCCTGATTTGTAGTTATCATTAACACCCCCATTCCCACAGCAAACAAATAAAGCAGTATCTTTGTAACAATCCAACTACTTCATAGGGTTGTTAATGATATAAATCAAACTTAAATCTCATTCATTTCAATAGGTTTTCTCTTAGGTAAAACTAACATTGTATGCTACTCATATCTAGATAGAAAGCCAGATGGCCTTAAATGCTTGTGATTTTGAGCTTTTAGTTCCAAGCATTCTGTCCCTTTTTGTAAGCACAATGGGGAATTATTGCTACTTAATATTTATTAGTATTAGATGTAATTATCAATCTTGGAATCATATGCTTTGAAGATGCAAGCTTTGCAATTCCGTTTCTCTTCCTAAGCAATGTATTGCTTAAACACCTGGTCATCCACTTATAAGCAACAATTAGCAGCAGCCAAAGACCGTTGATGTGCAGTATGTACAGATGCTTTTCATTTTTAGAGCTGTTGACAAGGCCTAAGCCCTGCCTCAGCCCTTGGTCTACTTGTAGAGGCTAAATGCAGTTGCAGGTGTTTTCTCTGAATCCTAAAGGACATGCTCAGATTCCATTCTCATAATCTTTTAATCCTAGACCACAAGTTTAATGGCCACAGGGGAGTGAGTCACTGAAACCACTGCTTCTACAGCCAGTCTTTCTCTCATGCACACCAGCATGCAATCTCTCTCTTGTGCCAGCCAGCATGCAGCTGTTGGAATTTCCGCTGGCCAGATGTTTAGCAGGGCCCCTGTGGCCAAGCCTGTGTGGTGTAGTTGGTACTCCTCTTGCTTTTGAAATATTTTTGAGATTCCTAATTATGTTCAGTTCACGCCAGTGTATTAATGACCAAAGGGAGAATAATTTATCATCGTCATAAGCACTCCCCAAAATTATAATGGCTACATCTCACCAGAAAAATATCTAAGAAATCAGAGCTCTGTATTTATTCCCTACTATATGATTTCCAGAATTCTGTAAGATGTTTTGCCACAAAATTTTGGGTTAGGTGCTGATGGTAAGAGGCTTTGCAGTGAAGGTGCCTGCTGGAATATAGTTTTCATATGCAAGGAACTGAAAGTTTGCAGTAGAGAAAGCTACTGAATTGTGTTTATATGCGGCCCAAGAAGATGCAAAAGAACTAAGTTTGATGTCAGTCATGCTGGCACCAGCCAATCCCACTAGTAATTTAAGGTAATCCCACTAGTAATATTCTGAGGTGGATTTAGAAAAAGACAAAATGAAACATGGGCAAGAGAAACCTGGAACTGGGTGCTAGAATTACCTCTCTCAGCATCAGCCACTGTTGGCATATGTTCATTTTATTTCATTGCCCTGCCTAGCTCTGAGCCTATATATGATAAGTAATCAAGAGCCTGACCCAAGCCAATCTTAAACTAGATGAGAATGACAGACTAATTCTGTTGTAATAAATGAATGCATATTGAACTAGATTATCCTTTTTCTGCCAGTTTAAATGCAAGCAGAATGTGTGCAACTGGAGACTGAGTTGTCTGTGGGCACATGCAAACCCCTGGTAGAGCTATTAGCACAGCCTGTAGCATTTGATTTCATACTAGCCTCACATCAAGAAAACCTGCTGTTTAAGAAACAATTCTCCCCTTGAACTGCATAAAGACTTCATCATGCACAGTATTTTATCTGAGCCGTGCATACCTGTTGCCGCAGTTCAGACAAAGAGATCAACCAGTGGGAGCAGCTTCAAAAGCCTATCACAAACACTCTGGCAGGTCCCTGGGGCCTAGCCTTAGAATTGTCACCATAGTATAGAAACTGTAGGAGGAGAGAGTATTTGTCTGTGCTCATAACAGAGGGAAACAAGAGGGTGGAGAGGCGTGTTGAGAATACAGATGGTTCCTGGTGGTTTTGTTGATGTGTTTCTTTTCATATCTAGAAGACACAAACAGCTCAGCCAGGTCTCCCTTGTATAGCAGTACAGCTTATGTATCAATTGTCTGCTAGCTTTCTAGCTACCACTGAGGGCTTGGCAAGTGCTGCCATCATGCAAGCTTAAAATCTCCCAGGTGCCCTAGCTGTATCATGAAGCAGTTTTACATTTGTTAAAATCCACCCAGTCCTGCAGGCTGAAGCATGCCGGTTGTGAAGGCCTGTGGTGTGCTGAAATTGCGTACCCAGCTTCAACAAGCAGTTGCTGTTGGCAGCCCTAAGTGAAACTCTACCACTAGCATATTGGAAGTCTCCTGTATCTACTATATTAGCTACAAGAGGTGGTAAAGCAAGCTGTTTTCCAGCTACATACGAATACCACAAATTCAACAATGCCTAAATGGATTATCTATTTTGGACAAACACATGGTATCATTTATGTAAAAGCACATTTCAATTGGAAATGTGTTTTCTGGTACATAGTTTTTCAGTAAACCACTTACTGAACATGGTGCCTTCCTGGTGTGTTGAAGGTGCAGCTCTCGTTTCCCAGCTAGCATGGACCATGGCTGGGAATTATGAGTGTTCCGGTCTAATACATCTCGTGGACCTGAAGTTTGAGGAAGGCTTCAGTAGCATCTCAGAATTGGTTTTGCCAATAGTTTGCTTCCACTTTCTTAGACCAAAAGCATGCTGTAGGAATGTGGATCAACTTATAACAAAGAATCACCTTAGGGGTTCTCTCACTTTTCAGATGCATGCTTTTCTTTGCAGGTTTCGACTACTAAACGGAGATTGCTCTAGAATAGCCTAGCCCAACTGGATGTTCTCTGGATGTATTAACAGCTCTCAACATTCCTGAACATTTCTATGTTGGCAGAGGCTGCTGGGAGAAAGTTCAAAGCAGCTGGAAAGCAACTGGGGAAGTCTGTTCTAGAAGCAACAGCACAGTGATGTAGCAAGCCACAGAATTCTGGAGATTCTTTCTGCTCTGTCATCTGAGAGCATTATTAGATTACACCAAAAGATCTACTCTGCCAGATGGTAGCATATAGTGCCCAACCAGCTTCCTTTGGGAAGCCTATAATATAAGCAGGACATAAATGAATTAGCTCTTTCCTGGTTTTGTTCCCTATATTGGATGACCTCAGAGTCATTTCAGCAGAGAGAGCTTTCTTCAACCTGGTGCCCTCCAGAGGTTTCAGACTACAGCATTTCTAATCACTGTTGCTAGGGCCAATGAGAATGGAGTCAAGACATCTGGTGGGCACCAGGTTGGGAAAGCATCACCTAGAGAGCACAAACATGATTACTAGTAGCCATTGACATAATTCTGTTTAATTTTTAAACCCATGTAATCTAGTGGCCATCATATCTTGTCAGCAAGTTGTCCTGAACTTGCTATTTGTTAATTGCATTGGGTAACCCCAAGTCTAGTATGATGAAACAAAAATTATTAACATTGTCCAAGCCATGCAAAATTTCATGAATTCCTATTTATTCCACCTATTTCTATCTGGCCCAGAGAGTCAATTTGGCTAATAGGTAGGATAGGAATTTAATAAATATCTCATTACTCTTTTCTATATTAGCAAGTTTGTCCTTATAACAAGAGGTGCTTGGCTCCAGTTCTTACCATGAATGCCCTTTCCTGCAGTGCCCAAACACTCCAATATTCTTTTTCAGTTGGGGTGTTATTCTATTCCAAGCATTGTAACTTCATATGCAGGCGCTGCAATACTACCAATTTATTTTCCAACACTTTCTTAATTTGCCCTTCTCACGCTCACATAAGTGTTTTTGGTAGTCATCTACCATAACTTATGATCTCTCTTCCCATGAGTTACACTTCTTCAGCTCTAAAGAGTGTGTATGTAAGAAATATCTGAAACAGATACCTTACACTAAATCAAAGTCAGAGTCTGGAGACACCCTTTCGGAGCTCTTCATAGTCAGCTTTTGTTTTTACATCTTCACTAATTGGTGTCATGGGTAAGCTTAGCTTTCTTACTATTCACCTGTCCTCTTATCCCATGCCTGCTAGGTTTACTTGTGGATGATTCCAATTGCTTAAGCCATGTTGATTGTGTTTCAGCAAGATTTGTTCTTCTGTGTGCTGGATAATATATACAATTGTGCTTTGTGATGTTTAGATTTCTCCACCCCAGCCTTTTGAAAATGGGTGTTTACATTGAACTGAAGGGTTTAAAAGTAGCTAAATGGCAATTTTAGAAACCAATTATATATTGTTGTAAGAATTGCAACTTCCCATCTGACATTCTTAATTTGAAACTCCTGCATTGTTTTTAAATTAATCTTCCCCCCTCCCCCAGCATCATCTTTTAGAAATGTCCCCTACTCCACAACTGCATTTTCTTGAGAATATGGTAAAAACAAAAACAGCCTGGCTTTCTCAAAGATCTTGAATTTTTACCTATACCCAAGGATTCAAAATTAAGCAAATGCTAATGAAGAGGTTTGCTTGACCATTATCAACTCTAGTTATATTTAGAACACTAGACCAAGAGACCATACGAGAGGAAAGGGAGTTAACTATTTAAAAGAAAACTATTAGTCCCACTATGTTTAGCCCCAAGCCCAGCAAGAGGTGCACCTTTGCACCCTTTCTTCTCAAGCAACTTATCTTGCAATGAATGGTAGTGCTCATGCTAGTTATTTAAAGACAGTCAGTATTTAGAGACAAGAGGCTAAAATACTATTACATGTATTTTTAAAAAGAAAGTTTATTTTAGAAAATTAAATAGCCTCTAACACTTAACTATACTGTAAGCGTATTATTATGGAAAAGATGGCAAATGCAGATTAAATTCATATTCCTTGAAAGGCCTGATCATACAACACCATGTAAGTAGAATGCCAGGAACTTCTTGAATGTATCTGGATGATAGTGATACACTCCAGCAGGAACCTGTAAAGAGAAGATCTGGATTTTCAATGTCTGGCATATAGAGCAAGTAAAAATACACTGTCTTAATGGTCTACTGTTACGCTTGCCATTCAAGAAACAAGGGTTTCTTTTGTTTCAGGGGAGGGTATGTTACATCTTTTTTTTTCAACTGGATATCTTGGAGTTGTGCTGTCAGAGCCAGGCTTCAACCAATCACAACAGGTGTCCTACAAGTGTTTTAGACTACAACTCCAGCATGGTCAGGAGTTATAGGAGTCATGATTCCAAACATCTTGCTTTAAAGCACCTAGGTGGAATGTGAAATTCAAGGTGTGTCCTGCTCACTTCTGGGTGAAATGCGGTATAATGAAATATGTGGGCTAATATAGTTTGATGCCGGATAGTTAGCACTCTAGCACTGTTAAGAATTTAAACTCATGACTTCTAGGGCTTCTTGTTTAAAAGAAATATATATTCTCACTTTCAATTCAAGTTTACTCGTATCATCCTCATAAATAAGTTTTTCAACTTATCTGTCAAGCCAGAGCTTATGTTCTATGGGTGGTTACTTGATCAACAAGCAATTTCACTTTAAGGAACATACCACGACAACGTTATGCTTGGTTTCTGGCTCAGTCAGGTAATCCTCATACAGAAACTGATCTGCATCAATCCAGACTAGGTTTTTAACACCAATGCTAGGATTTAGATCCGTTGTATTCAACTGGAAGATCATGAACTGAAAACACAGGCCATCTGAACCAATACTCTGAACAACAATGGGTTTCTCCAAGACCATGGGTTCATCCTAGTAACAAGCAAGGAAGAGAATAGAAAGGTAAAAGCTACATGACAAACTGAATGTTACCTTTGATCAAGACAGACACATCATGCAGTATAAAAACAGATAAAACTGAATGAATTGAATTAGATCAATTTTGTTTATATTTTACCATAATATAGATGAAAGGCATGTCTATGCCCCTGTCGCTTACATGATTGTACCAAATGAAATTTCAAGCTCTGTCATATAATATCTATTGCACTTAAATACATTAAGATTGTATACTACTATTTGCTTCCATGGTCTGTCTATGTGGACAGCCGGGGGGGGGGGGCACAGGTGGGAGAACAGGATACAAAAACATAAAAAAAGAAACTGGAATGATTTGAAATTAGTGCAGACATGTGGCCACAAGCTGCTGCCAGGGAAGTATTCTGATAGGCCAGCATGCTGGATATGGACAGTTATTCATCCTACCACTTGCATTCATCCCAACACAAGTGCTGTGTCACTGTTTTGATAGCTGAAGTCTAATATGACTTTAGGGATGCAGGACCTACTCAGGATTAGTCAAAGGCCAAACCCAATCTCTACAATAGCTACAGGGATTGAAAAAGGACCCTTGTCATCTCCAAGGAATAACCTGAAATTTCAATTAACTGCAAATAGGGTTTCCGCCTATGGTGTTCAAGGATCCTAAGTATACAAAAGTAATTATTCTATGTCCTATCACATTTGAAGAGTATCTTTGAGTGTTTATGAAGCTCATGCCTGCTCAGGATCACAATGACAGCATAAGTTAACAGCATGAATTTGCTATTCAATATCACTTTATTTGCTACAACCAGCAAAGCTGACCAAAAAAATGTAGGTACAGTAGGGGCTGTGCAGCTCACAGCACATTTCAAAAGTGTTACCTCTCATCTTTCTACTTTTCATGCCAAAGCACCAAGCCAGAGGCATAAACAACTTCCATGTGGGATGTGTTCACAGAGAACTAGAAAGCAAAAAGAATTTTTTCCTTCCAAACTTGGAACCACTGTGTTAATGACATGTTTGGAAGAAAGTGACCACCACCTCCTGATTCTAGGATAATTTAAGTCATGTTTTTAATCTTAATATGTCTTACCCCATACAGTCTCTTAGCCTTGGCCAGTGCACTCCCAAAGGCAAACATCATCATATTGGCCCGGAGCTGTTCAGGTCGCATTCTAGGTATTTTACCAGACCCAGGAAAGTATATAGTGTGAGCATAAGGATATGGGTAACCTTCTTGAAAACCTAAGGTATAAATCAGGTGATAATTTAGCACTGTTTCATTGCTCATTGCTAAAGAAATAAGACAACTGAAACATGATCATATTTCTGAACCACAACTGAGATTCCTGATACTTCAGTAGTCAATACTCAATTCAATCAGCTTTAGTCAGTCAACTCTTCTCTCACATGGAACCATCTCACCCATAATAATAATTTATGAAGTACATAGCAAGTTCCTGCTTATATCCTGTAATTTCCCTGAAATTTACCTGTATCGTTTTTTGTCTCATATACATTAACCTCTTGAAGGTCAATCAGAGGCGAAATAGGATGAAAGGTTTCTAAAATGTGATTCTCAGTGGCGAGTACCTCATCTTTGGAGGCTATAGGTGGTAGAGGAGTCTTTGCATTCACAAGCTTCCCACCTGGGCCACAAACCTGAAGAAGAACAGATTCTAGAAAGGAAAGCAAGTAAGTTATGTTATTGTAAGCTATGCAGACAACTTTGTTATGCGGTAGCATACAAAACTCCCAACCAACAGGTGCTGTTTTCAGTAGAACTATGCTGTAGCAGGGGCTTGTAAACCACCAGTACTGGATTCACCACCTCTGCTGAATAATAAATGCTGGTACTCCTTCATGTCTTAGGTAAATGAGAATTCACCCTTCCTGCATGCTAATGTACTTGTTAGAAGCCACAATTCAATACAGAACCCCTCACATACAGTGGTACAGCAATATTTCTAGTAGCCGTTCCCATGAAAATTACCTTCCAAACTGCATATAAAGAACTGAGAAACTGTCCTTTTATTTTGGGAATAACTGGTATCAAAGAAAACACTAAGTGACACAAAAGAACCACTGAAATATTAGCTAATTTCCCTAGCGCTACTTTCCCCAGCTTTTCTAAGAATTAAGATGAACCAAAACAAAGTAAAAAACACCCTGAACTCAAACTTCAATTCACAACTTTCCTTCTCATCCAGAGGATCATGGCCAAAACACCCTGTATCCATTAATCAAACCCCAGTATTATTTTTAGTAAGGGCTTTTAAAAATCTCATTTAATATTTATGTTCCCCAAATATTTTAAGAACATGAATTATTGAGAAGTATATTACATTAATGTCCTGCTAAATATACATGCATTGGTATCCAATATACACATATTGCGTTATGAACAGTGGATTATAGTAAAGGACAGTCCGCTCCAATGCCTGATAGCCGCATGAGCGGTTGAAGTGCAGTAATTTTTTTCTTCAGATAAAAGGCAATTTATATTTGCTCCATGCAATTTCCTCCTCTGTTACTTATTCCAAATCTACAGTCTTTAGAGAATAAACTGCTCACAACATGGAAAACATTGTGACTTTACATTAGTGGCATTACGAATTTCAAGATACAGATCTCTAGACTTCTAATTCTTTTGCAGAACCTTCCTTATAACCCAACCCAACATGCCATAAAACAATTCTGCAGAGACAAAGAGGCCTACAAAGTGCTAACTAACCTCGTTCCCATGATGCTGTGACGTTGCAGTCTTGAGCCATCATTCTTTTGGCAAGTGAAGGATATTTAGCAGCCATGGACCTGCACAAGTGAAGCAAGTCTTCCAGCAGCACAGGGCTTCAGAACAAGAATTTAATTAGATCTAATGGCACAAACCAGAAGCTCCAATGTAGCAAGATTTTCTGGATATTTATTTGTATGTATTCTTTATAGCTATTTTCCCCAGTTTGGTCCCCTTCACATGTTTTAGGCTACAACTCTCAAACATTCCTCATTATTGGAGCTGAAGAGAGTTGTTGAAAACATTTGATGGGCATCAATGTGAGGAAGGATGATCATAGCATCTACAAAGGAAAAACACAAGTTAAGATGACAGTTACTTAGCATAGATGAGTGATATGCCAGGCACCCACTATTAAGCCCATAAGTGTTAACAGCATCAACAGTTACTATACAGTATCAATACACAAGCAGTGTTATGCCACGAAGATTCCATACCAAGGATACCAAGATCCTATCACAAGCATAATTCATGGGTGTTTACTTGATTTATTCTTTTATTTTTGGTTACAGGGGAGAATACTACATTCTGCGCTTATATGGAATTACAGAATGAACACAGCCCTGTCCATGACTTATTCTATTAGTTTATATTTAGGAAAAAAGGTACAAGAATTTCTATCTAAAATCCCCACATTCCACCTTCCAAACTAATTTTTCATGAAGGCTTCAGCATAACCTTATAACACTCATGCTCAACTGTAGTGCAAACTAAGTATGCATAACTAAAGTTAACCATACTTTCTTCCTGTTTACCCTGCCTCCTTCCTTCCTTGTTTCCCATGTCCAATTTTTCCCATTCACATTTAACACTGTATGCTCCTTGCAGCAGAAAATATCTTTTGTACCATATGCACATTGACAGTACAGTTATTAATGGCAGCAAGTGCCTGCAAAAGTAAGGTGCCCAGAAAGACAATACCAAAATCCACATCAGCATGATACCTTTATGGGGCCAATGATATGATCAAGAAAAGCTATGAGCTTTCAAAGATGCCAGATGCGAAAACACACATTTTTGGTGATCTTTTGGTTAGCTTCATAACCGTATTAAACTATGGATTTTGGAGCAAATTCCTAGTTTAGCTCCTTAAGCCAGGCATAACAGGTCAACAGTAAAAAGCATTCCACTTGAAAATATGAGAATAATTCTCCCAAATCACAGAAAAGCTACTTTCATAAAAACAAAACACTGAATGCATACTCATTGTTACTTTTATTAAAAGGTTTACTTTTAGGTGACTGTGTAAGGACACAATGACTGAATCCCTACAAACAGAAAGTCAGGCTGACAAACCCAACAGGCAATGTCATCTGAGTGCGAGTGATTCTGCTGCTTCTCTGTATCAGGGATGACTGGACACTCAGATCACAGGAGACACAGGTGAGGCAGAATGCCCTGTCTCACTATCCAGGACTGTCAACTGGAAAGAAGCAACAGCAGATATTGACAGCTCCTTCTGCAGGTAAGTACATCAGGCTCCTGGAACACTTTAGGGCACTATCCTGTGAAGATAAGCATGTGCCTCCAACTTGGAGCTCATATTCTTCCCATGAAGAGCAGGAGACATATGGAGGCAATGTTACCAGTTTACATTTCTGTTAGATGACCATTTTCAGCTGTCTAGCAACACCATTTTATAAGAGAAAGAGGCTGCAATGGCTTCAGGCTATCTTTGTAACCTAGTCACTCCAATCTCTTATTCTCAACACAAAACCTGCTTTAGCCAACTTCCAGCCTTGAACAACCACCAGCACATTTCTTTCCATGCAAGCTGCAAGGGGTTTGGAGCTCTGACCAACTCTATAGTCAAGAGCACTGTCTCTAGCTTCAGAGCTGGGAAGCCAAACTATCCTATGATCTTTCAGACAATGTCTAGGGGCCGCAGGATTGCTTCTGCTATTCCTTATTTCATTTCTCTCAAACATACACTGTTGGAAATTACCAACTTAAAACCACAATTTTATCATCCAATTATAGTCACATCTATTATAACAAACAAAAAGCATGACCCCAGCAACGATGAAGCCAACTAGAAGAAAAAGTCAAATATTTACCTGTAGGTTTCTTCTGCAACAGCTGCATCAGTGTTAACCCAGAAATATGCATGATGAATTGCATTTTGAACTCTTTCATCCTGATCTTCCAACTGATAAGCTGTGTCATTCATTATGCTAAGGATTTGGGGTGGTAAACCTTCAATTAGCTTTGTCTTGGTTAGCCACAATGCTTGCTTTACACCTAGAAGTCAATAAAATATAAAACTCGAGCATATTTTCCATATTATATTTTGTATTATGATTTGTTTTACTATGGAGCAAAATTATACAGAGTATAATTTCCCATAATACTGTTAGAATCTGGAGTAGGAAAAATGAGAAGGAAACAATTTCGAGACAAAAAACCCCCACTGCATAAGACCAAGAATACCTAGCAAATGCCACAAGAAATACAAGGAAGTTCCACAGTTATTCCACAGAGCATAACTAATTCACACAACTTTGATGAGTGCAGATATGCCACTACATGCCCAAACATACAAATCCATTTTATACATCTATCTGCATATAATAGTGTTATAACTATCAACACTTATGGAATAGTTATTTTCCAAAGATTTGTTTTTTTAAAAAGCAATGACCCATGAATATTGGATCTAAAATTGGCAGTTGTGAATAACTGAAGTTCACCGTATTTCTTCACATGGCTTCAATTCACCTCTGGCCAATTCTGTTTTTCTACCCTAACTAGGGTAATTGGATTGGCATACCCTGATCAGTTTAGTTTCTTCCCCATCAACCCATTTGGCTAACGTTTAGGTCAGCATTCCCCAGTCTGGTACCCTCCCATCAGCCCCAGCAAACATGCTCAATGGTCAAGAAAGCTGGGAGTTCTACACCAAAGCATCTGGAGGCCACCAGATTGGAAAAAGCTGGTGTAGCTGGACACGGATGTACAAGTATGACAAGGTCACGCCCACTACTCGGTCGAATCAGCCCGTGCGCCACTAGCACCTTCCAGCAGGCGAGTCCGCTTGTGACATGTGTAGCAAGGCCGCTGCTTGTAGGCAGGCATCTCCTCGGGGGGAGGGGCGCGACTGTGACGGGGATCGTGCCATCCTCGCTCCCACTTCGGGAAATTCGGCTTGGCCAACCATGGCACGTAGTGCAGCTTCCCCTCATACGTCACCACGTCAAGCTCAGGCAGCTGCTCTCGCACCGACGGCACCTTCTGCAAGTACCAAGGTAACGGCACACCCGGCGGCGGCCCGCTGACAGTCCAGGGAGTGCGAGGCAGCGGGCCGCGGTGGAATTTCGGCCCGTAGGTGAATTTGGTGCGGCGTTGTTCACAGGGCGCCCAGCGTTTCCCTCGCCTGGCGAGCCAGCGTAGCGCCAGCATCCTCGCGTCCTCCCGCAGCACCGACAACCCTCCGTAGGAGCAGCATCTCGCAGCCATTTCCCCTCCGCCCGCGCAAGGCACGCCGGGTAAGACTGGAGGCGGGGCCGTCTTGTGATTGGCCGGGGGAGGCCTTTCCCCCTCCCTGCGCCCGCTGGCCTCGCCGTCTTTGGCTTCGGCGGCTGCCGGGTGGGAGGGAAAGTGGCCGCCGGCTCGTGAGCTGCGGCGCGGCTGGCGCAGCTGCCTCCTCGAGTTCTCTCAGGCCTCCCCAGCTCGCCGAGGACACGGGGTCTGAGAGGAAGCCTGGCGCTGGCCGGCCTTCTCGCGCGGAAGGTCCGGGGCCGCCGAGGCCCGTGACTAAGTCGACCAGCCGGCGCTAGATAAGTTTGCCCCAGGGATGAGGTTAGTGGTGCCACCTCGGTGGACACTGCGGCAGGGCACTCTTTCGTTGCACTGGTTGCACCGGTTCTTCCAGCTAACGCCATACATCGGGGAGGGCGCCAAGTTGGGAAGGCTGCGGTATCAGGCTCACTCCTGGAAGGCAGCACTTGTAGCGTGTCCTCTCATGCTAGCCTCATGTCGACTCTCTGAAGTAAGTGAAGGCAAGAAAATGGTGGGGCTATGAACACGCAAGGAGCTTCATGGTTGAGCGGACCTGACTGTTCCTGATCTCCCTGTACTTTGAATTGCACAGTCTCAGTTTTAGCTATGCTAAAACCAAAATTTAGGGTAGCTTGGCCTCTGGCCTACTAAGACAGGACAGAGACGAGTGCAAGCCCAGAATGATAAGCAAAGGTGTGAGCCTGCCCCTCCAAGCTTTCTTGTTACTGATCTGTTACATGATGACACCCCAGACTAGTCACCTATAGTTTAGTTAAAAGGTAGTTTCCTGTCATTTCACAGATGTAGATAAGGACATAGGAAGCTGCCTGAGAGAGAATCAGATCCTTGGGTTGTCTAGGGCAGTCATGTCTGCATCATCTGGAAGCAGTTCTTGGAAGTTTTAGGTAGGAGTCTTTCCCAGATTTACCTGGAAATGCCAGGTGTTGAATCTAAAATATATGCAACTTTTATATAACTGATATAACTGTCTTTGTTGATAGCTGGTAGTCTATCCCTTTCAGAATATTCCTGTTATATCTGTATTCTTGGATCTGCTCTGTTGAATATAAACATTTGAGGGTGCAGTCATTTGCATGTCTAGACAGAAAAAAATCCTACAATTCCTAGTATGCCCCAACCACCATGTAGGACTTACTTTTTCAAATTGCATCCTTAACTGTACACATAGTTTAGCTAGACTCATCAATTAATTAAAAGCAACCCCACCCAAGAATATTTTTCCAAATCACGTTTTCTTCATATTTGAACAATACTGATCACTGGGCTGTTTCACGCTGGCTTCCAGCTTAGTTACAGTACTGAAACAATCTTACTTCCTCTGATTGACAGGAGAGGGACAGTGCAACTCTGTTGCTATTGCTCTTTCTTTGGTCAGCAGACTACTGGATTGGCTCCATGGGTTTGCATTGGAGGCACTGACTGAGGTTGGACAAGTTGTGCCACCAGCGGCACCCTGTTACACATGCAACCTTATCTTGAGGGTTCCTGGGCTTATTGCAAGTTCTGGATGAAGTTTCATCCCCTCTGAATGAACAGGTCAGTGGGTACTCCTAGATCCATCTCATTTTCAGAGACCCATGTGGCATAGTTCCTGGGAGTGCCTTCTATCAACTTTGACTAGTACACCATCTATATGGACAGGGATAGCTTAGGCACAGTAGTACATATTCTAATAACCTCAAGATTGAATTGCTTTAAAATGTTCTATGTGGGGCTGTCATCCAGCTTGGTTCAGAAGCTGCAGCTAGTTCAGAATACAACTGCTCAGGCTTTGTCAAGGCCTGTCCCTTTTCAGCATGTAAAATCTTTGCAGAGGGAACAGCACTGATTACTTATTTGCTCCCAATGTCAATTTAAAGTTTTGTGGTTTTTACATAAAACTTTAAACAGCTTGGGACCAGGATATATGAAACAGTGCCTTTTCCTTTATCAACCCTTGACCATCACTGAGATTAGTGTATGATGGGTTCCTGGAGTCCCACATTGGCCTGTGATGTATATAGAGGCCATTCATAGCAGAGGATTTACTGTAGTATCTCTTTCGCTGCAGAATTCCTTGCCATTTGATGTCAAGCAAGCATTAACTTTTGTTTGTGTGTGTTTAAAAAAGTGCATAGGCTTTTCCTGAATTACCAGTCATAATTTTATTTTCTCTGGATTTTAAGCATTATTTATATTTTCCCTTCCTCTATTGCTCATTGTTTTAGAATCTATTTTAGATATAATGTGCTTTATAAGAGTTGTAAATAAATAAATAAATAAATGTATAGCTTTTATACATGCTTGTCATGGATTTCTTAAAAGAATTCTAGAATTATCTTTTTGGGCTATAGAGATACCTACTTACTTGCTTCACAGAACTACAACTCCCAGGACTCCTTTGGAAATTGCTGTTAAATCAGTTTAATTGTATAGCATGAATATACTCTCCTAATAAGGGGAGTTTGATTACATGGCATTAGGAGGCAGGCAGGGCAGGTGAGTTAAGCAGTTTTCAGTCATTGATCTGTGGATGGATTCCTATCAGTCCTTGATGAAGAACCCAGGTCATTCTCCTGTGTCCTTTGTTCTGCAGCTCTATAATGAGCTTGTTTCACTACTTCCTAGTGCTGTACCTAAGCAACTCTGCATAAAGGTAAGGGAGCATGAAAGTCAGGTTTTTGCCTTCTGCAGCTGCAAAATGGTATCTAAAAATGCACATTAGGAATAGACTTGGATTAGGAACTAAAAATCTAATGTACATGTATTTTAAAAAATTAGCATGAGAATTCATTAATATATTAAATTTATATTTTATTTAATGCATAGATTAAATAATATATAAAAACTTGGGAAACTTGTTTCAGAATAGTTAATAATAGTTAGCTTCAGTTTAATTAACATTGAGCAACACTGTTATGAAGGGTAGGAGGAAAGGGGATAGAAGCAAATGAAGATAAGACATGAAGCTTCATCTGAGGCAGAGGTGAAGCCTAACGTTCTTGCACCTAATCCTGGCCATGTGCTTATTTAGAAATATGTTTCTGTTGATTTCAGTAGAGCTTGCTTCTAAGCAAGGACAGCATCAGTAAGGCACTAAAAATAAATTCTGTGTTTGTGTATGGTAGGTACAAACAATCTAAGTCCAGCAGTTTTGAACTGAATGGCATGGGATTGTGTTTTGTAGATAATGGATAGTGAAGATGTCTGGCTATCTCTCAAGCCCAGTGAACCATTGCCATCTCAGTGTTGTGGCAGTGGCTGCAAACCCTGCATCTATGACATATATCAGAAGGAGCTGGAGAAATGGGAAGAGGCGAAAGCTAAAAAAGACAGAAGCCTCCTGAACAGGAAGAAGCAGCAAGTAGAAATCTTTAAATTGTTTAACTAGCACTGTTTCATCCTGACCTTAACCATTTTCTTAAAAGAAAAACTTGGAAGTAAATCCCATTCAATTCAATGAAGTCTGTTTCTAAGCACATTTCCTTAGCGGTGATGCCTGTGTTGTATTTGTTTATATAACAGATTTTTGGCAGCTGTTACAAAGCTGAAGTAAAAAGTGGAAAGCAACATGTCGTAAGCAAGCATGCACAGAGTAATAAGAGAAAATGCTTTCCATAACTCAGTGTATAAGAGTGTTACAGAAAGTAACAGCAAACTTCAGCAAAATTATTTTGTATTTTGCTGGTTCTTTCAAAAATACCTTTTTGTCACTTATATCTTTATTTAGCAGCTTCTCATAAATTTGCTTGATTCATAAAGTTTATGACTTAGAATGCCTCCTGCCTCAGTAGACTGTAAAGAGACTTAAAAAATCTGGTAACAGAGGGATCAGATGTCCCATGCCTTGATTTTTTAAAATAATTTTAAGTTGCTGCCATGTTTGCATCCCAATAACACTGGTTAAGTATTTTTATTAAAAGATTTAAGTGCAGGAAATTACTAATTCACATCAGGGAATCGCCTTTCAACCATTCCTCATATTGAAGAACAGATTTCTTAGTTTTCATTTTCTCCCACCTTGCATTCTTGGGTTTGTAATATTCTGTCAGATCACTCAAGCACTCAAGAATTGGAGGGCAAGCACACACCTCTTAATTATACAGGATTGCCTACCTCAGAAGGGATGCTGAGGACTGCAGCTGCAGTGCCATACACAGTTACTGTGACCCAAGCCCCAGGCATGTTAACTCTCCATGCCTACTGTTGTGTTCAGCTGCAAGCTTAAACAGGTTTACTAAGGACTGAGTCTTTTGAAGGTAATGGACTTACTTTTGAGTAAACTTGCACTGGATTGTGTGAATTTCTAATTCTAGAAGAAAATTTGAGAAAAATAGGGGAAATGAAGGTGGCAAAATAAGTGCTTTTTATTTTGAAAGAGGCTGAGGCATAAGCTAGGAAGTTAGTTCTTTTGGCCCTTGATGTGGCAGGGTGGCGATACGGTGGGGTACATATACAAAGGTACTTTTTTGATTATTCATTTACTCTGAAACGGAAGTTCTGGGACTAAAAACATGTTTAAGAACCCCACCACAGTTTGCACCCCTTGAAGAAGGTAAGATAGTGTTGGCACCTTTTGGTGATGGAAAAGGAATCTATGTTTTCAAAAGCTGCATAACAGTCCAAAAGTAAACATTTTCCACCACTGCATCTTCCTGTTGCAAGAAGCTTCACCAGTGTAATTCTTTCTGTCATGGGGCTATTGAAAACACAGAGCTCTGCCCAGAGATAAGATGGAATAGGGAAACAAAATTGCTTTCAAAAGAGATAGCAAAGTAAGGAGGAAGAAAGGTAGAACAGTTAGAAAATTGCCTCCTATCTTGCATTCCATTATCTTTTGTGATGTATTTGGGTACTTAAAATGAGTTTTTACTGCTTTCAAGTGGATAGACCTTTAGGTTTTTTTTCATCCTCCAAAGCCCTATCAGCAAATGGTTTGTAAAAGCAATAATTATACAAATACAAACAGTTTCTTGATTTAACCAAGATTCCACAAAGAACTTACTGAATGCATTTGGGCTTTAAAACCTTTTGGTGGGGAAGGAGGTGGCGTATCATGTTCCACCCATGCTGAATTCACTCACATGTTGTAAATAAATAAATAAATGGGGAGCATTGTTTAAAATACTAATTATTTATTGTTGCTCTTGCAGAGTAGTAATTCAGAGCTAACTCCAGAAACATTTACAGCTTTCATCATAAGCTCTGTGAATCAGCTGACAGAGGACTCCTACCAGTATACATTTGAATTGCCTGGAAATAGCAGCCTGGGGTTGAGTTTAGGGCAACACATTGTGCTAAGGTAGTGTACAAAGTCTCTAGTTAAACAGGCCACAGTATGTGATTTAATTTGCCATTTTTGTTGATTTACAAAGACTTCATGCCAAGTAAATCATAATTTCTGCTTTCAAACCAATTCTGCTGAAAGAACTCGTGAGCTCATTGAGGTAACTCACCTTGTTAATATTATGGTATATGCTACCCTATTGTTACTTTTTCCTCTGATTTTAGTTGTGTTGGAGGAAGAATTAGAAATGGGTAAGAAAGCCAATTTACACAAAGGAAAAAAATGAAAAAAATCTATGTCACATGGACAATATATTAACTTTTCTTTCTACCTTTAGGCAGTTAAACATATTGGAATACAGAGCCAATGCTCTAATAATTTAGATATTTATTGCCTTTGTATTCCACACTTCCTCAAAAGAACTTGGAAGAAACATAAAAACATATCCTCTCTATAGCTATATCCAAGGATATTTAACTCTTGCATGACTCACACCACTCAAGTTGCATGACATAACATGCCATGACATAGCAACAAGCATAACAGCAAATAATATGCATGCCATATTCAAAATGATGGCCATCACACACAACAGTGCACTGTGGCTTAAATAAACCATGATGGGCTGTGGTGGCATGCCCAACCTAGTTACTGATTATCTAAATGTCATCTGAGCCATTATCTAAATGTCATCTGAGTATAGTCGAATGAAGTTTCTTTGACCTGCAGAGTGAGAGACAGGGCAGAGGTCCAGGCTAATGCATCATGCTAAATAAACATGGAGAGAAGATCTATAGTTTGTTTAGCCACTCATGTTTGCAGCAGAAATGACTGGACAACATCAACATGCTGCTCATCAAAAATAAGTTACATTTTCCCATTCAATTCTCACATTTCCCACAGCATCCTTGTGGATAATAGAATGGATCGAATGGAATGGAATTGTTAACTTTTTTGCAACTGATATATAGTAAAAGCTAGATGATACAGTCTTTCTAAAGACTTGGTTCCAACAGCCCATTATGGGTTAATCCTTGGGGTACCATAGCATTATGAACAAGCCAAAGGATATGTACAGACTGTTCCCTCCTCAAATATATCCCACCACCCAGGTTTAGATGATGTGACAAGCTACTGCAAACCTCAGCTGGGGCTTGCATGTTCATGATGACAGCTGGCAGACACCACAATTTTGCACAAGTAAATTATTCCATGATGGCCTGTGTTGTGTGAACAAACCCACTGTCTGGCTTTTGAGATTATTTTGGTTAAGTTAGTATCAATAAATTGGGTGATTGTTCATACCACGATGGCAAAAGCTTTGGGTTAAACATACAATCCTGTGGTCCTTAGACATTGTGTAAGGGCCATAGGATAGTTTGGATTCCTAGCTGAGAGGTCAGCCTTTGAAACTGAATATAGGGCTGCCCCTCTGCAGCTGGCATGGAAAAAAGGCAGTCTGCTCTGTAAGGTCAGGAAAGTGACATCAGAACGAGAAAAGAGGGTGTTTCAGGGGGAGGGGGAGAAACTGGAGAACCCAGTATGTAAGGTATCATGAAGCCACTCCACCTTTCTTCCCTTCTTCTTCAAAATACCCGAAGTAGACAGTTGAAAATGGCCATGTATTACAGGAAGAATGGGAGGCAACTATCACCTCTACCTCTGTTCCTACTCTGCATTGGAGGAATGGAAGCCTCTGAGTTTGGAAGTTCATCTTGATAAGATTGTGCCCTAAATCACTATTTATAGTATGGTAAATTAAGTACAGCCATTCAGTGATGTCTCTGACACAGTGTTTCTTTACCCATATTTTGGAAAAAGAAGTAGGGATGTAGCCAAAAAAATGGCAATAGATATCAGCTAAGAGCTTAGAATATGAATTATGTAAAGCTTTCGGGATCTTCTCAGCCATCTGCTTGTCTGACATCACATAATTTAACCACCATAATCTAGCATAAACCAAACCAACTAAAACCGAATAGATTGAACAGTTCCATGTTACCAAGAAGCATTTCATCTAACTATTTTCAGAATACCTATGGAGAATTATAAAATGGAAGTGGTGTTTAATGGCTTAGTTTGCACATCATGGTAAAATTCCTGGGTGGTTTAACCCAGGAATTACCAAAGATAAAGCAGTGCATATTGCACACTTGTCATTTCTGCTTTAAGTTGACAACCTAGGAACATGGTTTACCTGAGTCGCTTTGTGAACTCAGAACTCTGGGTTGTTTATGGACTAAACAGTCTGCAATTAATTCAATAGATGCCTGTTGTGTTGTGTTTTTGAACTAACTCTGGGTTGTTTTAACAGATAAACCAGTTTCCAGATTTGCACATCTTGAAGTAACCCAGAAACGGTGTTCCTGGATTCCTAATTTAAAAACAAACATCAAGCATGTGGCTTGCATACTCCACTCATTCCTTCAGTTTCTGGTTTAAATAACTCAGGAATTGCAACCATGATGTGCTATAACTGAGAAAATAAAAGCTTAATAAAGCCTTCAAGAACTTTGATGGTAAAACTTTGGTTGTTATGTTCTATCCATTTATTCATGATTAAGTTCAGGAATAATCCCATTGACTTGTGAGGAACATAAATGAGACAAATCTAATTTGTAGGATAAATTTTAAAATTCTTTCTACATCCAGTTGGGAGTACTTTCAAATTCAGGACTTCAGGCATGGGGTTTTGTTGTTATTTCCATGTATTATTTTTTTATTTTTGAACAACTGCAAAGACTCAAGACAAAATCTCTTTTCTGCCCCAAACCGTTTATCATCCTCTCCTGCCACAGCTTCTCCAGTATTTCCCTTACTTTGTGAGCAGCATATCACACAAAATAGCTAGGCTGGCTCTGTAGCTCATCTGGCCCCAGGAAAGAGAAGGATTGTTAAGGAGGGTGGTATAGCTGTGTGCAGGAGAGAAATCTAAGGTTATTTTAGTGCCTTGGATCTCTGTGATTTCACTGCAAAATGGGAGGGAATTTGTCTGGCTTGGCAAAGGACAGCCCATGGGGAAGGAGGAAGGATACCTGCAGTGCTTTTCAGGCACAGCCTTTGCTGAGAGAGCAGTACTCTGCTGATAAGAATTGTCAGGGATTCAAATCATTCCCCCCCCCCCACCCCTTTTTCCCCTCTCTCGCTCTTGCTCTTTTTTTCTTCCTCAGAGGACTAGTGAATGGTTTGGAGGTTCAGAGAGCCTACACTCCAATTACTCCTGTGAATACTGAAGGGTACTTTGAAGTTTTAATAAAGGTAAATAGCTGTCTTTGTTCTATAGATTAACAGCTTGACGTAGGAACTGTGTCATCATCTATGCCAGCTGAGTGCTTAGCTTTGTACTTTAATAACTAAAGGCCTGCAGTCAAAGATTTGGCTTGTTAGTCCTAATCAATATATGAAATTCTACACACACGCATTCGCGCGCAATCCCTTTCCTAACACGAAGGCCTGGTCTGCACATGCAGCAGGATGAGCTGGTAGACATGGCATAACAGAAGTCATGATTGTACCACTTCAGAGAGAGCATATGCCTTTTAGGCTGTTCTTTGATGTTAAAGCAGAAACCCAACCCTGAAAATAAAGACTAGCACATGAGAATCTGACTATATGAAAGCTTTCTTTCAGATGTACTATTTAGCATATGTAGTGAGCTTTGGACATAGAGGAGCATTTTAAAAATGAGAATACCTTCCTGCAGTCTAAATTATCCTATTCCTCTTATATTCTTGGGACTCTATCACCACATTCCACTACATTGCAACAACACATGTAACTCAGTCCAGATATTACTGGCATTACCTTATGACCAAACTGAGAAAGCTGAGTTGCCCTTAGAGAAGGCTTTCTATGAAACCTACGGAGCTATAATATTCACGATTGCCTGGTGTGGTTCTTCCTTCCTTTCTTTTCTCCCTGCTCATTGATGTGGCTTTCTATATTTACTTCAGAGATAAGAATGGTGAATGATAAGCGATGAGGACCAGTATACTGCATATAAAGAGAGCTAGTGTGGTATTGTGGTTAAGGCTTTGGGACTGGAACTCAGGCAGTCTGGGTTCTAGTTTCCACTCAACCATGGAGGTCACTGGATGACTTTGGACCAGTCACAGTCTCTCAGTCCAGCCTACCTCAGAGGGTTGTTGCTGCAAGGATAAGATTGAGAGGAGGAGGAGAATTATGTAAGCTATCTTGAGTTTATTGCAAGGAAGAAAGGCAGGATAGAAATACGAAATAAATAAATTATAAAGACAATTTTGTAAATTTTGGACAACAGAGGGCCATCTTGCCTGGCAGAACCTGTGTGCGCATAAAAGTAACCTGTTACTCTTTCAACAGGCAGATGGACCTACTACACAGGCAGCAATTCTGGTAAAGGAGTGGAAGTCATTTCATGCAGTTTTAGGATCCATATCAATCAGTCTGTAAAGCATTTCTGTAGAGTTAATTGATTTTGTAGCCTTTGAGTACTTAGGTTGAAAAAGAATGTTGGCTACACTTTAATTTAAGGATTGACTCAAATTCTGACCCTAGGAATATCAAATTCAAGGATATCTTTTAAATCTGTATTTACATCTCCCAGTGGAAGACATAGTTCTCTGTAACTAAAACCTCTACCACTAGATCTAGCCAGGTCACAGAGAACAATAATTTTGCCCTTTGCTCACCTTCAGGAGTGCTTTACTGAGTTTTATCACTGATTGTGTGATAGTTTGAGCAAGGATTATACTCCTTTTGAGGTGTGTATAGCTTTTATAAGACACTTGTGGGTGGATCATGTCATCATTATTATGGCAATTGGAAGGGGGAAATGCTACATTTGAGCTGTATTAATATGTTACCTTTATAGGGTGACTGTGAACTTCCATATATGCTTGCTTATTACACACAAGTTTTGCATTTCAATAATAGTAGTAATGATTGTAATAACACCTTCCCTTTATATAGAACCTTTCATCCCAAAGGGAACTATAGTTATTCTCCAGCAGTAACAAAAGAGATGGAACACCCATTGCAAAGCACCCATTTGTATAACTTGCTTTGTAGATTGTAGTGTATTTCTCACTATTCAGGCAATTTTTGGAAGTACCGTATTATTATTATTACTATGCAATCCAAGTGCTGTTCAGACACCCCTGTGTCCCATGATTACAGCACTGAATTTGTGATACTACAGTTAAGTGCAAGTGAGTGGCGATTTTCTGTGCTTAACCCTCCCTTTGAGTGATTCTATAATGTTATGGTGTTTTTGGTATAAAACTTGCCATAGAGGTTTTCCCTCCAGGAGTTTCTTCTTTTACAAGAATTCATTATAAACCAGTTTGTATAAACCATTTCTCTATTAGAAAGAGAACTCTATACAATCAGTTCTAAATGCATTGTCTCTCCTTTGTAACCAATATTCCACTGCATGGGAAACATAGTAACTCAGGTGTGATTCTCTACACCCTTAATTTATTATTAGCATATGCCTCCTCTAATTGTGGCTAGAGTTGCCAACCTTAATGTAATGGTGTTTCTATATCTTTACCAACATTCAAACAAGCAGCTGCAAGATCTCTTGGCATCAAGATATATGCTTAATTTCTATGTAAAATGCATCAGGTCATTTTGGGTCCTGAAAATACTATGTTTGTTCATCTTTAGGATGCTATAAAATTCTTAGCTGGTTTTGCTGCAGCAGCTTGACATAGCTGCTGTGACAAATCCTTCATCATGGTAGAATATGCCTCAGAACAAAGGATATACTCAAGCATCTGTAGGTACCAAAATTTGCATTACTCCTTGATCAGTTTGTATTCCCAACCTCTCTATGGGCACTCCACCCTCCAGAGAAATACTGTAATTTGTGAGGTTTTCTTTGCATTTGACCTCCTTACAAAGAGTCAATATAAAACTATTCTCCTCTGCCCCCACCTGCAAACTTATTTGGTGTGTTACTCTTAATGTTTCATTTTATTTTGAAGTTCTTGGCCATTTCTGATCTTACCTCACCTCTCCCTGGTTCTTGAATCAGCTCACTGACTTGGAAACTAGAATGTATTCAATTCTTCTGCCTAACCTGAGGTTGGTCTCACTCCCATGTTAGACTACTTGGTTACATTTTAACATTTTCACAAAGAACAAGGGGAAATGAACCTATCTTCCAGAGACAGTGGACCTATTCTTCATGGGATTCCTATGATCCTTGGCTAATATTATTAAGTATGTGGGTAGTGCAATAAAGACCCATCAAACTAGTGTGGTGCAGTGGTTAAGATTGTGGGAGTGGGACTCAGATGATCTGGTTCTAGTTCCCATTCAGCCATGGAGCTTACTGGAGGACTTTAGTCCAGTCACAGACTCTCAGTCCAACCTATCTCCAAGGAGGGTTGTTGTAAAGACAAGATGGAGAAGAGAAGAATTATGTAAGCCACTCTGAGTTTCTTGGAAGGAAGGAAGGAAGGAAGGAAGGAAGGAAGGAAGGAAGGAAATATAATAAACAGTAAAAATGTCATGCTGCTTAGTCTACTTGACAAGGTTAGAGATGGAGATTCCTGTTTGTAACAGCTGCCTTTCTAGAACTTGGCAATCTTAGCTATAGCTATCCCACTTCATTCCTACTTCATACAAAAGCTTTTAACAATCACCTTTATTGAAGACGTTTGTGCACTTTTGTTGTGATCTGGTGTATATTTTTTTCAAATTATTTTTTGAAATATACAGATGTTTCTCCATCCTAGCTGTATGAATGTGAGCTGTTGATTTTAAATACAAGTCTTCTCTGCTAAAGTATTTATTTATGTATTTAATTAATTCTTCTTTACAAGTGTTATGAAACTGGACGAATGTCACAGTATGTAAAAACCTGGAAAGAAGGAGACAAAGTGTTTTGGAGAGGACCATTTGGAGGCTTTCCTTACACAGCAAACCAGGTAAGACCTATAGTAGATTGTGAGTAGCCAAGGGAATGGTCTTCTCTTTTTAGGGAGAAGGAAAGATCTTTAGGCAGATTTCCTGTTATAAGCTGTTGGATTAAACTTCTAGAGTTTTGAAAAGGTTCTATATACAGTGCAATTTATTAAATGAAGGTGAAAATACAGCAGGTGATCAAAAATACCAATCAGTATAACCCTTCTCAGGATTTGGTAAATGAGGCTGCAGCCCTATGGATTCTTATCTGGAAGTAAGCCCCATTGAACCCAGTGAGATTTCCTTCTGAGTAGAGATACAGAGCACTGTGCTGTTAGTGTTTGAAGCTCAGCATCTGTCATCACAGTATGTAATTCTCTCCATTCTTGAACCAGGACCATCGTCCTTCTGTGACTTTGGAGTTTTAATTGGAATGTAGTTTTTTTTCAGTCCCAGCTTACAACAGGTCTGGGGAAAACTATGGTTCTCCAGACAGTGTTGGACTTCTGCTCCCTTTATCACTGATCACTGATCATACTGATGGGTGTTGATGGGAACTGGAGTCAGACATCTAGAGGGCTACAGCTTCCTCACCCCGTTCCTACAAATGTTGAGGATGTATCTTTATCTCACAGTTCCTGAAAGTGGAATAGTACAAAGTCAAGTAGTATTTGTATCAAGACTCCCAAGAATGGATTTTCACATCTAAACAGTTTTAAAGTGTACTAAAATACAGTGCTTACATTTGCAAGATTTAAATGAAGGCTTACATCCAATACTGACATAAAATATTCTTTACAAAGAAATATGTGTGTCAGAGTAGATTTTCAGTTCCTGCGCTGCTGCTGACATTGACTAGGGTAATGACCCAGTTTGCATGATCAGAACAAGCCATGGTGGCCTTTTGTGAGCCGCAGTGGATGCCAGGCACAGTTTGCATAATCACTGCCTGGCTGCTGGTCGTTGTATTATTCAGACTCATGCAGCATACTTTGTAGGAGGGATAAACAGTCCTTAAACAAGCCACAGGCTATTGTAAGGTTATTTTAGAGTAGTTTAATTGTCTAACAAGCCATGCTGCCTGGGTTCAGCTGACACAACAAGGAATAACTGGGGAGTGATTATGCAAATTGTACCTGGAACATGCTGTAGCTCACAATATATCATTGTGATGTGTTTGCATCTTGCAAATGAATCCAACGAGGGAGAAACTGCAGAGGGAAATTAATGCAAGTCATGTAATGGGTTGGATGCAATAATGCATTTTGTTAATTTGCTGATTTTATTTATGATTGCAATGATTTATGTTCTACTGATTTTATTTATGTTCTTGATTATTTATGTTATACTGATTTTATTGTGTTCTCTGTATTATGACTTTCCCCTGATAGAAACATTGTTCAGTATATTTTTGTTTGTAGAATAAAGTAATTCAACCCCTTGATTGAATTAACAAGAATCATCATAGGTTATTTGACTGAAAATAAAGATGTATTATTAAACTGTAGCAATACATTCAGCATAGAGGGCCTTCTTGGAAATATAACTTGAATGACGGCCACAACTAACTTAATATATTTCATATGCATAGATTATATGTAATATCCATGTATATGGGCAAGTTTCATGCATCAAACTCATAGGTGAACTGGGGATGTGCTTTCTAAAGAACTGTGAATTGTTGACAGATGTGTTGAACAGAAGATACTGTTTTCCTGTATCCCAAGTGTTAATATGCTGGGATAAAAACTGCCACTTTATTGGACTGGCCACCAAAAGCTGAATGTAACTTCTCCAGAGCAGGAGCATGGCTACTGGATTGCCTAGGCATTCAGTTTGACTTACTTCTTGACAGACTGATTAGTATTGCACTGTAAATCTGCAAATAAGTAAAAATGGTTTTGAAGCAAGAAGTTTACTTTCTTTGTTTTTAAAGGAAATTAAGTACTTACTTTACACTAGTTCATCTTGCAACCTGGCCTCGCATCCATTTGTTGCACCATCTAAATATTCCACAATTTCTTTTTAAAAAAAACCTGTAGAGGGAATCTTGAAAATACTCCCATGCTGGGAAAACAGTCATGATATTTCGTGAGTTGAGTATGAGAATATAGGAACCTTCACACGGCACAGTGTAGTTGTCTTCTTAGTGCTGTTCCTTTCTGCTTCCCTCAGCTTTCACCCATCCCCACTTCTACAAAAGTAAAGCAGCAAACAAAAATAAAATTCCCATAATTAATTGTTCAATACACAGTCTAATAGTTACTGTTAAAATCATTACTGTTACTGTTAAATAAAATCATTTATTTTTATCAAGTGAAGACAAAATGCCTATGTTTTCTAGGCAGAATATTCATATTCAGGTTTGAGAAAGGGTGAGATTGGGGGCTTTTTTCATTCACATTGAAAAGCTCCATTTAAAGGCCACATTTGCACATCCTAGTAAACCATAATTTACTATAGTGCAAACAAACTGTAGTGCATGTTGGACTTCTGTGCTCCTCTGCTCCCCTCTTCTCCTCCAGTCTGGCCACAGGGAGGATATTTTTCTAAAAGGTAGAAGCATTTTTTCTGCTTTCAATTTTGTCTGAATCAAAAACTGTGGTTAATATGAACAATTTCTTTATCAATAACACTTGTTCCTAAGGCAAAGGTTTCTATATCACAGAGAGGTGATCCCATGTTTTAAATTAGCAATCCACATCCCCTGGTTCAGAAATGAAACACCACCTCTTTTGCACTAGTGAAATTCCTAGCCTAACTGCACAGCATTGTTGCAGATTACAGGCTGAAAATGTCTTTGAAAGCACATTGAGGCAGTCTTATTTTGATTATTTTATTTTTTATTTTTGATACAGGAAGGATGGCATAAAACAGAACAGCAAAGTATATAGCAAAAGGGAAGAGTAGGTATGTGTTGAGTTAGTGTGAAAGAGAAAATCTTTTGAACATCAGCACCATTGCCCTGGTGCCATACATCTTCCATGCCAGCCTGTTTGAAAAAACGTGGTTGGTGTCAACTGCTTCACAGGCGTCTTTGAACCAGTTGCTCTGCTTCCATGTACTCAAGCAGTGGTGCAAGTGGATGTTCAGTTGGCTTGAGGCCATGGTATAATGCAATCAAACAATCTGCTGTAGGCCCTACAGGAACGTCTGGTTGTCAAGGTGGATATTGAGGTGGATGCAGGCCAGGTTGTTGAGACAGCGGAAGTACTGGCTCTGTTGGAGAGGGAGAGAGGGAGGGATACTGCTGCAGAACTCTGTAAGCTTACAGGTGGCATGAAGAGTGTGCTTGTTGGCCATGCACAGATGTTTTCAAGGCTTTTGCCAACATTTGGATATCTGTCTACCTTTCGAGGGTGACAGTTTCTTCCCTCATTGTCTGATGAAGGTTTATGGCCTCCTTGTCTTCATGCACATATTTCCCTAAAGAACAGATACTGTTAGCTTTGGTCTGAGTTGACCAGATGCAGACTAAATGTTTACTGGCTCTTCCATTTTTCTATTCATTCAGTTCCTTGTAAAACCTATATATATTTCCCCCCAGTGCTTCTCTTGTAAGCTGTACCAGGCATTGTAGGGGAGGATAGATTTGGGCCCTATTTTCTAGGAGAAATAAGCAAGCAATGAAGGGAAGACTTCAAAACCAGGGCAGAGGTTGCACACTAGATCTTCCTGATGGACTGGGTGTGAAGAAGGGTCCAAGGACTGCCGAAGTTACTTCAGTTTCAAAAAAGAACGACTTCTTCAGGATCCTTTCAGAAACTTTGATGTAGGGGTCTTGCAGGCAGAGCCAATAGAAACAAAACTAACCTTGGCAGAATTGTAGGCTCCTTTAAAGTTGCTGGGCAGATTACACGCAAGAAAAAGAAAGGCTTGCTTACAGGTGGAGCGGCGAAGTTACATCAGATGGTGAGAGGAGAATGCTGACGAAGGAGGGAGGACAGGGACTGCAGCAAAATGGTCTATTGCTAGGCAGAGTTTGACAAGTGAGATCACTCACAAGGAACAACACGATTTTAGGTTTCTCTTATCAAGTGACTCCATGACCATTTTTAACCACTCATGATGAAATCATCCTGCTTTGGGTCTGAAAAACGCATTATGCCACCATGAGTATGAACTACCTAAAAAAAGACATGAGTTATAAAGGTGATTTGTTTGAGAAAAAGAAACCATGCTGCAGAAAACACTCTAGGTTTGGGTGACATGACAACCTACCGTGGCTGATCACCCATGCTGAGTTGTCATGTTAGTTGAGTCAGACCAGTATTTCCTAAAGAAAACAGAGAATCTATCTTTTAAGATGGGTCTTGCTATCTACAGTTGTACAAAGTTCTTGTATTATATTGTGATTATCTAACATCTGCTACCCAACTAAGCATAAATTTTCAGTTGATTAAAAGTTTTCACTCAGTTGATGTAGGAGAAAGTGATGCAGGAACACATCCTGCATAAAAGTGAAAAAGGTCTTATAATTGCCTTCCATGTTTCAAAATTGAAGATTTCCCTCTTCAGAAGCCACAGAAAAAAATGCACATATATCATTCTGGTTATTTGATATAACTCCAGATCTAACACATCTAGATGTAAATATAAGCATGCATAATTATTATTGCATTTTGTTACTCCAAAGCATATGGAAACAACTAAAAACAAGGCAAAATTATCAGCTAATATTCAGCTATACTCCTGAATTGAGGGCGATGAAGCAGGTTGGGAGACGGCTAGAGCGTAGGTGGAGGAAATCACATGATGAATCTGACCAAATACACTTGAGAGCCCACTATCGGGCCTATGCTGTGGCAGTGATGGTGGCGAAAAAGAGATTTTTTTCCGCTTCCATTGCCTCCTCACAATGCCGTCCGGCAGAGCTTTTTCGAGTGGTGCAGGGCCTGGTTTGTCCAGGTCCGAAAGAAGACCTGGTTCCACCCTCAAAGGCCCGCTGTGACGACTTTGCCAGGCATTTCAGGGAGAAAATTGCTCAGATTCGTCACGAGCTGGATTCCACTATTGATTCAAAGGTTTTAAGGGAGTAGCCAATGCCACCATCTGGTCCAGAATTATTGGATGAATTTCAGTTATTGCGGCCCAATGATGTGGACAAGGTGCTTGGACGAGTACGTCCCACCACTTGCCTATTGGACCCTTGCCCGTCTTGTTTAATAAATAATTCCAAGCACGGGATTGGGACCTGGATCTTGGAAGTGATTAACGCTTCTCTGAGGGAGGGTCGGGTGCCTGCCCCTTTAAAGGAGGTGGTAGTCCGACCGGTCCTGAAGAAGGCGTCACTGGATCCAGAGATGGCCACTAATTATAGACCAGTGGCCAACATCCCGTTTCTGGGCAAGGTGTTAGAGCGAGTGGTGGCGGGACAACTCCAAGCACTCTTGGATGAAACTGATTATCTGGACCCATTTCAGTCCGGCTTCAGACCCGGGTATGGTACTGAATCTGCCTTGGTCGCCCTGTACGATGACCTGTGCAGGGAGAAAGACAGGGGGAGTGCGTCCCTGTTGGTTCTTCTGGACCTCTGAGCGGCTTTCGATACCATCGACCATGGTATCCTTCTGGATAGACTTGCGGGATTGGGGGTCGGAGGCACTGCTTTGCAGTGGTTCTGCTCCTATCTCAATGGCCGGTTCCAGAAGGTGGTGTTGGGGGACTGTGGCTCTGCGCCATGGCAGTTATGCCATGGAGTACCACAGGGGTCCATTTTGTCCCCGTTACTGTTCAACATCTACATGAAACCGCTGGGAGAGGTCATCAGGAGGTGTGGGCTGCGGAACCATCAGTACGCTGATGATACCCAGCTCTGCCTCTCGTTTTCCACCAATCCAGGTGAGGCAGTGGCTGCGCTGAACCGGTGCCTGGCCGAGGTAATGGGCTGGATGAGGGCCAATAAACTGAAGCTCAATCCAGACAAGACGGAGGTCCTGTTGGTTGGTGGTTCGGGCTTCGGAGAGGGTGAACTGAACCTTGTTCTGAATGGGGTTGCACTCCCTCCTAGGGACAAGGTCCACAGCTTGGGAGTGCTCCTCGACCCGGAGCTTTCACTAGAAGCTCAGGTGACAGCAGCGGCGAGGAGCGCTTTCCTCCAGCTTCGGCTGATTCACCAGCTGCGCCCCTATCTGGCGTACGACTGCCTCGCGACAGTGACACATGCACTGGTGACTTCCCGTCTTGACTTCTGTAACGCGCTCTACATGGGGCTACCCTCGAAGACGGTCCGGATACTTCAATTGGTTCAAAATAGATCTGCCAGGCTGCTAACGGGGACTGGGCGTTATGTTCACATGACTTCAGTCCTTCGTCAGCTTCACTGGCTTCCCATTGAAGTCCGGGCCCAATTCAAGGTGTTGGTGATGACCTATAAAGCCCTAAACGGCTTGGGTCCTGGTTACCTGAAGGAGCGCTTGCATCCATATATGCCCAGCCGCCCCTTGAGATCGGCGGGGGAGGCCCTTCTCCGGGAACACTCCGTGAAAGAAATTAGGAGGGTGGGTACTCGGAGGAGGGCTTTCTCTGCGGTGGCGCCTAAGTTATGGAACGCGCTCCCCAGAGAGGTCCGCCTGGCGCCGTCGTTATTTGTTTTTCGGCGCCAGGCAAAGACCTTTTTATTCAGGCGGCATTTTAACTGTTAATATTATTGGATTTTATCTGGCCAGGGCGGCTTATTTTATACTGTATTTTTGTATTTTTAATTTAATGTTTATATTTTTGATTTATAATTATTTTAACTTATTGTTGTAAGCCGCCCCGAGGCTTCGGCGAACGGGGTGGCATAAAAATGTTTTAATAAATAAATAAATAAAATATTGCTTAAATTGTTTTTTTTCATTGTCAAGGTTAACATTCATATTAAAATCAACTACAGTACTATCCTATACATTGTTGAAGTCAACATAAGCATGAAACAAGAAAAAATACAAAGGTTCATTTTGTGTGTGTGTGCTTTTGTTCACTTAGCCACAGTACATATTGGGTTAAAAATATAGTTACTAATTTGTATTTATTTCTTTATTGACTTATTATCCACTGAATCATCCCAAAGGCCCTCTAAGCAGATTACAATCCATAAAACATATAATAACAATAAAAACTATAATTAAAAATACAATATACAGAAACAATAAAACAAAACTGCACAGCTAAGGGCACATTAATTTAAAACCATATCAACAACTTAAAATTATCCAAATAAAATCAATTATTAAAATGCCCAGAGAATAGAACTACTTTTGCCTGACTCTGAAAATATTCTAATGAAGGCACCAGGCGAACTGCTTCTGGGAGGTTATTCCACAAGGGGGGTGCAACTACTGAGAAGGCACCTCTTCTTTTAGCCATCCTCCTTACCTGCTTAGAGGGTGGCTCTTTCAGAAGGGCCTCCAGAATGGAACTTAGGGGCCCGGTAGGTAAGTGTGAGACCAGGTGGTTCTTCAGGTACCCTGGTCCCAAGATGTTTTTGGCTTTATATGTTAAAACCAGCACCTTGAATTGAGCCTGGAGCTCAACTGATAATCAGTGAAGATGATAAAGTATTGGTGTCACATGGACATGTGGTCCTTGTACCAGCAGCTGTGCCACCCTTTTCTTTACCAGTTGAAGTTTCCGAACCCTCTTCAAGGGCAGCCCCAAGATAGAGTACATTACAGTAGTCCAGTTGAGAGGTTAGCAGAGCATGGGTGACTGTGGCTAGGCTCTGACTGTCCAGGTAGGGCTGTAGTTGATAAATCCATTGCAGGTGAAAAAAGACAATCCTGGCCACCAAGTCCGCCTGAGATTCAAGTGATAGAGGAGCACCCCCAAGCTATGAACCCTATCCTTCAGGGAGAGTGCAACCCCACCCAGGACTGGTAGAATGCCCACCCTTTGGGCAGATGGACTGTCCACCAACAGCACCTATGTCTTATCTGACTTGAGCTTCATTTTGTTGGCTCGCATCCAGTCCACTATCAAGCTCAGGCAACAATTCAGAACAGAAACTGCCTCACCTGAGTTAGATGAAAAGGAAATGTAAAGCTAGGTGTCATCAGCTAAGTGTCATCAGCCCCCACCTCCAAATAAGTTCTCCCAGCGTTTTCATGTATATGTTGAACAGCATGGGGAACAGTAGAGAGCCCTGAGGAACCCCATAGTGTAATCACCATGGGGCAGAACAACTGTCCCCCAGGATCACCATCTGGACACAGTTGGCCAGGTAGGAATGGAACCACTGTAGAACAGTGCCACCAACTCCCAACACATCCAGGCTGTCCCGAAGGACACCATGGTCAATGGTTTTGAAAGCTGCTGAAAGGTCCAGGAGAACCAACAAGGTCACACTCCCCCTTGTCCCTCTCCTGGCAAAGGTCATCCCACAGGGCGACCAAGGCAGTCTGTTCCAGATCCCAGCCTTAAACTTGATTGAAATGGACCAAGATATCCATTTCATCCAAGAGTGCCTGAAGCTGCTCAGCCACTCAGCAAGGATCAAGTGAGCAGATGTTGGCATGAACAGAACCAAGCACCTTGTCCACATCCTTAAGCCACAATAATTGAAACTCTTCCATCAAAGTCAGACAAGATGGTGCTCTCAATGGGACTGAAACAACGGAGTCCAAATCATGGCATATCTGAATGATTTTGTCTTCCAAGTGGTCAGCAAATTCATCACAGTGAATCACTGAGGATTCAGTAATCTCACTAAATGTTCCAGTGTGCAGGAGACCCCAAACCACTCAGAAAAGTTCAACTGGATAGCATTGTGAAGATGTGATAGAAGTGACAAAATATTGATATTTTGCCAGTTATTGCCATAAAATAGGCCCTATACTGCACTAGCTCTTTCAGCTTAATGTATGTAATTGATTAAGAAGAAAAGTCAGTCCTTGAGTTATGCAGAGGCCAAGCTGTTAAAGTATTTATATGTTAAAAATTGTAAACTAGTGTGATAGATTCAGTGTATTGCTGTTTTCCATTTACTAAAACACATTTGCTATTCTGCTTAATTTTTTTTCTCTTTTTTCCTTTTTTTTTTTTAGTATGGAGAACTGTTCATGCTTGCTTCTGGTACTGGTCTAGCACCAATGCTTCCCATCATTCAGTATATAACAGGAAACGAGGATGATGAAACATTTGTAACCCTAGTGGGCTGCTTCAAGACTTTTGAAAATATTTACATGAAATCTCTTCTTCAAGAACAGGCCCGATTCTGGAACATAAGAACATTTTATGTACTAAGTCAGGTAATATTCTAATAGGGAATTTTATGTGTTCATCCCTCCTTTTTGTGGCACTGTAACAAAAAATCTATTATTAGGACTTGTTAGTATGAACTTAGTGTGAACTTTCATATTATGTGCAATGGCTCTAACTTGACAAGCATCATCAAAATTGTAGCTTAGGGGCATAGCTCAGTGGCACAACATATGTTTTATGTACAGATGGTCACGGATTCAATATCCTGCATCTCCAATCAGGATTGGAAAGTAGCCCTGTCTGGAAACCTGGAAAGCTGCTGCAAGTCTGTGACAGCAACCCTGCTTTTGATGTGACCCGTAGTCTCACTCAGTATAAGGCAGTTTCCTGTTATTCCCTTGCCAGGAGAAATGCTGATGAGCAAACCAGTGAATGGGTTTGTGCAACACAATAAGCCATGGTGGCTTTTAATTCATGATGTGATGCTTCTGGATTCAAACAACTCGACAAGCCACCCCGCCTTATAAGCAACTATGACCTATTGTGTTGTATGATCCCAGTCAGTGGGTAAATGTCCATTTTGCAGAGTTTGTTGTCTGAGTTTGTCTACTGCAAGCTAGATTCCATATGATGTGGTGCATAAAGAGCCTGCCTACAAGGAATCAACAAATCCTGAAGATATCTATCTTAATGCAAATGCTAAGGGTACAAGTCTGTTCACTGCTTTTTCTGCAGACTTGAAGTCAGGTTTGGCAGAAAGAAAGGACTGCCTACTGCCCAATGTTCAACTTAAGCAAGCACAAAAGCGGCTTGCTCATGTAGTTTTGGAAAGCACAGGGACAGCTCAGAATCTTATTTGATGACAAAGCCACATCACAGGGTCAGAGTCAGCACTAGCTTCTGGGGTCAAGGAACCAAAAATACATCTTCTTCTTGGGAGCCATTTGATTTCACTGCTTTTGTCTGAGGATATGGTTTTGTATCATGTTTACTCTAACACATTTAATCTCTACCCCACCATGTCTACCTATGGACATATAAAATTATGCATACCCTACACCATGAATAGACTGTTTGTCAATTCTGACTACTCATTCAGTGATCACAGAACTTGCTTTTTACTTTTGAAGTGAGCTTCCCAAATGATTGTTTGACAGAGATACCAAGATGAGCAAGTTGATACTGTGATCTGATAGTCTTGAGGCAGAATTAAACTTTAAGAATTAAACCCACAGAACTTCTAATTTTCTTGTATAAATGTGTGTTCTGCACATTTACATCTATTCATGGAGAATTAGCCAAGAAAACAGAACTTTCTCTCTAGTTTCTCCACCACTGCTCTAAAATAAAGTATGAGACCTCAGGCCTCTGGGCCAAACCCAGTTTTCCTGAGGTCCCAAATCTGGTGCTCCAGACTCTTTCAGACAACCACACTCTGCTTGTCTCCCAACACATGTTGGTGGTTTACTGGCTTTTACAATTTTTTCTGTTCTAAAAGTTTGTAATGTCTAAGTCTTAACAGCTAACTATGCTAAAATATCTGGTATTTTTTGGACCCACTCATTTTTGTCTTCAGCCCCACCCACCACTAAAGTATGGCCCCTGACAGCTTTTCTGAAATGGATGTGAGTTCTCCATTTGTAAGAGGTTTGATAAACTCAATCTAAAAGGAGTTAAAAACATTGGCCTCACTCCAGCTATAGCTGTTTGTGACTCATTTTAGTGGGCTTTGGCCATTTAGTTTTTGTGGCACAAAGAATTACATTCATGTGGTATCCTAAAGCATCCTTTCTTTTTAAAAAATCCACTTTAAATCAAATAATTGAGTGATGGATGAATATGAGTGTATTCCTCATAATAAAATTTGAGTTGAAGTCTTCACAGGCATCAGATCTTGACCCTTGATAAATTTAGTATATTAGACCCTTGAGAGCACATGCGCACGCACACAAATGTTTTGCCATTGTCTTATGCCTTTTGTCTTTTCAGGAACGTTCACTTGAAAATCTGCCATGGAGCTTTCAAGGGAATACACACATTGGTCGAATAAATGAAAACATGATTAGGAGCATGATGGACACATGTAGGAAGCAGCCTTTTGTGTTGATTTGTGGCTCAGTGACATTTAGTGAAGATATGGAAAGACACTTGAAGGCCATTGGTCTTGGAGAAGAGTCATATTTTGTATTTTAAAGTTTTTTTAATGAATAATATCTTTGTTACAAGTAATTCATATTTGATCAGGCTGAATTTTGAAACATACTCTGTTATGATAATCCATCCAAATTTGTAGATTCTAAGTACTGTGAGTTTTCTGAAGAATAGCATAAAATTACAGAGACCACAAGTAATGATGTCAGTCTAATGCCAATTGCAGAAAGTTATCCTTGACATAATTCACTATCCTCTGAGGAGATAGTCATCCAAGTCACCAGGTTGGCACTTGGTATTATAATTGGTTCTCTGGGATTTCCAGTAGGTAATACCAGTCAGGGCTGACCCACAACATTTTTATATGTGAAGCAACTGAACTGTATGCCCCAAAAGATGCACTCCAGAACAGGATTTCTTGCCATGTCATAGATAAACATAAGCCAAATCCTCTGGAGTGTAGCTTTACATAGAGTTGTGTTCTACTAACATTCTCAGTAACATAGTGCAAGATCCTTCAGTACATGCTGTGGATTTCCCATGATTGCAGTACTCCCCCTAAAAATATTGTTGCTTGCAGTAGCCTTGACACCAGCCTTCCAACACTAGAATTTTAAACAATAGCCATAGCCTTCATGGTGGGAAGCTTGTTTCTTCTTCAGAGCCTTGTCCTCTGTGGTGGCACCCTCATTTTTGTTTCAAGCCATATTTAAGTATTCTTGTGTCAGACTACCAAAAATAAGAAATGATACTTGACAGCATTTGAAAAAACAAAGGAACAAGTCATTTTGTTTCTAAGCTTTTAATCCATATGAGAACTCAACAGTACTTGTTTGGTTTTTTTCCAGTACAATAGAATCTCAGTTTCTTTTTTCATGATGTCTAGGATTCTCACATAAGTAGCTTTGGGACTGCATAAGATTTGGAAGCCATATATTAATTGCACCTAATTGAGTATCAGATCCTTTTAACCACTGTGTGATTTCTTACATTGAAATTATATTTCAGTCATAAAGGTATAAGAAAATTCTGACTCTTGTTGGATGTTATTTTTAACAATGCAGTAACTGTTATTGTTGTTATTATTATTATTATAGCATTTCTATGTTACAGCTAAATAAAGCTGTAAAGAAAAAAGAACAAAGCTGCATTTTATGTGTATAGCTTAGGTTTCTGAAGTCATAATGGCTGCTACAATGGTTGATCAAGTGTGTTTTAAATGACGACACAATCCAGAAAAAGACTAGCATTACTAAATCCCATTGAGAGCTACCATATAGAATTTAGACTTTAGCTGAATTGTGGCCAGTATCCATTTGCCACCGTTCAAATTCAGATAGTAGAATGTGCAGTGCAGTAAAGGATAGAAAAAACCTTGATTTTATAACATAAGACCTACATTTAATCTATTTCAGGAGGAGGAGTATTGATCTATAGACCAAGAAAATCTGAAACTTTAGTCCGATACAATTATTACCTAAAATGGAAAGCAACATTGAATCTGGTTTTGTTACAGAAGCTCCATGAGCTTTTTTTCTCAGCATAAAACAAGCAAATCTGTAAAACTTTGTTCACATGGTTTGAATTCCCATTTCCGGCATGTGGCTTTTTCACAGAAAAGCTAGACCAGTCGTCTGCCTCAGTACAATGCAACTTCATGTCCATGGGTGTAGATCACTATATGAAACTATGGATGCTTCCACACAAGGCTGTCATCCTGCAGGTATCCCTAGTGCTGAATTTTACAACCACATTTGTAACCCTCCTGCATTTTTCCACCACTGCTTCCCTTTTTCTTACAAGAAAAGACTGTTAAAGAGGGCATAATACTTTTTGATTTGCTCTCCATTCAAAAACTCTCTATAGTTTAGTCTGGAAAGTATTTGTAGTCAAATATTTAAGCTAGTCAAAGCTATTCATATTAAAAATCATGACAAAACTACACAGTGCTGAGAAATGTAGCATACTTCTGTTATGATTTAAAATGTATCAGTAATATGTGAAAATTTCATACTATATAACTCAATTTATCTAAGTAGCCTCAGAAGCCTGGGTAATAAAGCAGCAGGGTGTGATTTCAACAGGGTTACATTGATGTATTTTTTTAAAATTTAATATAATTAAAACATTTCTACCCCATCCTTTGTCAGAACAGCTTACAAAAAATTATATAAAATACAATTAAAACATTCAATAATAACATTCAATAATAACAACTCAAAACATCCACTAGTAACAACTCAGAAATAACAATGATAACAATTCAAAACTAAAGAGAAAAAGAAGGGAAAATGTGACTGTATAAAATTATTAATTTATTAAAATTATACATTCAATTATTAAAATGATGGGTAAATAAAAAGTTCTTTTCCTGGTGCCGGAAAGAATATAGTTGGTGCCAGGCAGACCCCTCTGGGGAGCATGTTCCATAGTCTGGGCACCACTGCAGAGAAAGCCCTCCTCTGAGCAGATACCCTCTGTACCTCCTTCAAAGAGGGCTCCCAGAGCAAGGCCTCCCCTGCCAATCTTAAGGGGCGTGAGGGCACGCAGGGAAAGATGTTCCTTCAGGTATCCTGGTCCCAAGCTGTTTTGGGCTTTATAGGTTAGTGCCAACACCTTGAATTGGGCTCGGACTTCAATTGGCAGCCAGTGTAGCTGGTAGAGGACTGGCATTATATGAGACTAATGGCTGGCCCCCGTCAGTAACCTGGCAGCTCTATTTTGTACCAATTGAAGTACCCAAACCATTTTCAAGGGCTGCCCCACATAGAGTGCGTTACCATAATCCAACCAGGAGGTTACCAGCACGTGTGTCAACGTTGCTAGGCAGTGCTTATCCAGGTACGGACGCAGCTGTTTGATCAGCTGAAGGAAGGTGCTCCTTGCCACCACCATCACCTGGGCCTCCAGGGACAGCTCTGGGTCAAGGAGCACTCCTAGGCTGTGGACCCTGTCCTTTAAAGGGACTGCAACTCCGTCCAGGACAGGACCAAAATCACTTACCTGAAAACCCGAACCACCCACCAAAAGGACCTCCGTAGACACAAAAGAGAGGAAAATTAAAACTGAATTACTAGTATCTGAAGGTATATTGAATATGTAGAAGAACATACTGAGGTGGACTTACATATATAGCTTATCCTACCAGGGAAAAATATATTTCAGATTAGGACATTATTAATGTGAAAGTGGCTGAGGGGAAATAATTAAATCTTTTCACTTACAGCAATTGAACCTACAACGGGGACTCCCCCCCAAAAGGAATTAATTTATAAAAATTGTGTATTCATTTTTGCATATTCAAACTTCAGTCACCATTAAAGTACTCTCCATTTGATGCAATACACCTACTGAGACTTTTTTCCACTGCTCAAAACAGGTTTTGAACTCAATTTTGATGCCTTTTAATGCTTCTGCCATTTTTTGTTTCACCTTTTCCACATTGGCAAAACATTCCCCTTTGAGGACTTTTTTCATCGGGGGAAACAAACAAACAGTCACTTGGGGTGAGATTGGGTGAATATGGAGGGTGGGCCCCAAGGGTCATGCCATTTTTGGTAAAAAAACTGCTGAACACTCAGCTGAACAATATTTCACCATTGCACATTGTGTAAATCAGCCATCACAAAATAAGCAAAGGCATTGAAAGAATCTCAACCCCCCCAAAAAAAAACCCTCACTGAAGCTGAGTGGAGCCTCTTACAACAACCCACTGATGCAGGTGGTTTCCTAGAACACTCACCTAGTGGGAGAAGCCTGCACTACAAGGGGTCAGCCCTCCAGAAGACACTTCCTGGTTGTTGTTGTTCTTTTTGTCCCCCACTCGTATTCTAATCTGCCCTCCTTCCATGGTTGAGTTTTGATAACATTTAAAAAGATGGACGATCCACTCACAGGTGTCTGTCATTTTGCCTAGTTAGGCTTTGACACAGCCTACATTCTTTTTTCCTGCATAAATTTTGAGAGAATTCTCTTGATATGCCTGGTAGAGGCATCGTACAACAACTTTAGTTCCTGGATTTTTTTTTTAAACTTTGCTCATATTCATATTGGGTTTGCTCATATAGTCATCACTGACTGATGATACATATTTGTAGACTACTTTGTGTGGGCACAAAAAGAGGCAACCCTTTTAGGAAGACAGCAAGAATTGGCTTTAAGAGAAAAGTCTGAAGTCCCAAAGGGTCTATAACTAGTCATAGCAATTGTACACAGAAAAGGCACTCTATGTGAGCCATAGCCAGACAATTGGCTCTTATATGGTGAGCTGAAAAGAGAAGAAACAGTATGTTTCAAGGATGCTAGTGAGGTTCATGGCAAGGTGGGACAAGAACTCAGAAATTTAATTCTCACTCCAGCACTCTAAGCATTAGGCTACACTGGCTCTCATGGTCAAGAAGAGAAGTCATGAAAAAGCTGTAGCACCAGAGGGATAGCAGAAGCCAGGAAGACTCTAGCAATTTCCCTCTAATAGGCATACACTAATTCCTTGAATTACCATCCTCTTTAAATTAGTTTTGCTCTTTGCTCTTCCCAGATCCTTTCCCCCTTCCCTTCCCTTCCCTTCCTTTCTTGTTTTTGGTTTTGTTTTTTTGTTTTTGTTTTTCATCTCAAGTGCTTTCCTGTTAATGAAGAGATTTGTGAATTTTGGTAAATTCTGAACACATAATGAAATTTCCACCCACCTGTACCAGTCAAATTCAATAGGCATAGCTTTTCCCAGCATGGAAAGGACCATATTGTACTTACCTCCCATGTAGCTGTAAAAGAGCTTATCAGAAAAGAAACGGCAACCCAAAGTCAGTCTGCAGGCATGGTTGAATGCACAGGAATTCAAGCACAGACCACTAAGAGCTAAATGAATTGTTTTGCTTTCTTTCACATTCAGATTATTTTAAACTCAATTTCTTTATCCTGTTTATAGAAACATTTGCAAATTTTGGAAAATTCTTATTTTAAAAAACCAATCCTCCTTTAAACTGCAGGATGCCCTCCTTCAGGAATCTTTGGAAGTATGAAAGCGAATATGGGAGAGATTTGTGGATCCTTATGACACATCCAAGTACATGCTTCCTAAAAGCTATTGCAAATGGTTAGCAATTGCAGTATTAGCATGGATGGTCAATGGGTATTGATAATTGATGCCAACTTTTTCAACTTCTATTGCTATTCTTAGGCATCGGAAGTTTTACTGTTTACAAATAACTATCCAGAACATTATTCATTAAAGAAGTGCAGATTATTCAGAGCTTTCAGGTGCCTCCTGGACAATTGCATAGATGCAGTAGGATTAGATGTATTTTAAAACATTTCTTTTTCTTGAGAACAGGTGGGGAGGATATGGCTAGGTCTTGATATTTTCTTTTTTTAAAAGGAGAATAAAATCACCTTCAAAAGTTAGTGTCTGCCTTCCCTGTTTTGGTAATTTTTTTATTCCACTAAGATGTAGACACTGAAGTACATAATTCCTCACAAGGGAGCTCTTGCACTTCCCCCCTTTCCTGCCGCACCCCCTCCATCGTTTGACTGACAAATAGCAATTCTGTTTTTAAGGCACAGCTTGTGCAGTGCAGGCACCAGGTCATGAAAGGGTGAAACGTGTCACAAGGCTGAAATACGATGTCTCCTGGGCTCAGGTCACAGCTGGCGCCTCTGCGCAGTCCTTATGCCCCCCCTCCTGGCAGAGCAAAACCATTGTATCCATTGTGTGCGGCAAATGGCAAAAACTGGAGACTTGAAACAAGCCAGAAGGAATGAAGAAAAACCAGACAAATAGAATGAGTACAAGACTTAAAAGGTGGAGCGGGCAGGAAGGACAGGGCAGGAATCCTGTTGTTGCATGCCCGGTGCATTAGAAAAAAAAAAAAATAGGGCAAAAATGAGGTGGCAGATTTTATAACACAGGATGAAATCACTAATACTTGAGCTGGCCAAAATTGATTGTTAAAAGGCAATTAATCACAATTCCTATATTATTCCTAGTTGGAGACATATGTAAGAGGAAGGAGCAGAGCTGATTCATGTGTTTTA